ACATTGGAATGGATAAGGGTTTCTTTTGTCTAAAACTACTCCAAAAGCATAGGAAACAAAAACAACAATAGAAATACTGTTGCCATTGATTTCTCAACAATGTTGCAGTGGATTCGTTTCTGAGAGGAGCAGCCTGGTGGGGGCAAGAGGTGCGGAGTCACCACACAGACCCCGGGAGTCAGGTGAAAGCAGGCTTGAGGGGAGCAGCCCGCAGACTCATTTATTTCAGTTGGTACAACATCTTGTATAGCCAAGACCAGCCAATCTGGTCAAGGGGCGGTCTATGCCCCAACCAATCACAGCCTGTTGCCAGGCAGTTTCCAAAGCCATCCAATCACAGCCTGTTGCCAGGCAGTTTCAAATCCATCCAATCACAGCCTGTTGCCAGGCAGTGTCTAAAGCCATCCAATCACAGCCTGTTGCCAGGCAGTTTCAAATCCATCCAATCACAGCCTGTTGCCAGGCAGTTTCAAAGCCATTCTTGAGTAACTGACGCTCACTTGCCAGGGGCCATCTTGGTATGGCCTTCCCTTTCCACCAAAGACACACAGTATTTCATTAAAACAAAAACCTTCTGCATAGCTAGGAAACAACAGATTCAAGAGACAAACTACAGTCTTAGTGAAAATATTTGCAAGCTGTTCATTTAACAGCCAGAATATGTAAAAACTCAATAGCACATGGATAAATAATCCAATTTTTTTTTTGACAGGCAGAGTGGACAGTGAGAGAGAGAGAGAGAGAGAGAGAGAGAGAGAAAGGTCTTCCTTTTGCCATTGGTTCACCCTCCAATGGCCGCCACGCTGCAGCTGGTACACCACGCTGATCTGAAGCCAGGAGTCAGGTGCTTCTCCTGGTCTCCTATGCGGGTGCAGGGCCCAAGCACTTGGGCCATCCTCTACTGCACTCCCTGGCCACAGCAGAGAGCTGGCCTGGAAGAGGGGCAACCGGGACAGAATCCAGCGCCCTGACCAGGACTAGAACCCGGTGTGCCGGCACTGCTAGGTGGAGGATTAGCCTATTGAGCCGCGGCGCCGGCGCTAATAATCCAATTTTAAAATGAGCAACAAATCTGAACAGAATGTTTTCAAAGAATGACATACTAATGGCAACAGGAACATAGAAAAAAAGCTCATCATCACTAATACTCATGGAAATTCAAATTGAGTGACAATGAGATACCAACCTATCCAGATAAGCTCCAATCAAAAACACAGAAGACAATGAATCAATTAGGATATAGAGAAAAAGAGAACCCTTGTACACTGTTGATGGAAACCTCAATTAATGCACCCATTGTGTAAAATAGTATGGCAGTTCCTCAAAAACACTAAAAAGAGAACTAGCATATGATCCAACAATCCCAATACCAAGTATATATATCTATGGGAAATAAAATCAGTATGTTGAAAAGACACCTGCACACCCATATTTATAGCAGCATTATTCACAATATCCAAGAAATATACAAACTATGTATCAATTGATTTTAAAAATGTGATGTGTGTATATATATACACACATATGTATACATACACATGTATATATACACACACACAAAGTAATACTATTCAATCATAAAAAGTTATTACCTCGTCCTTTGTGACAACATGAAAGTCCTTATGTTAAGGGACATTAGTCAGGCAAAGACAGAACAGTAGTACATGATCTCACTCATATCTAAAACAAAAATTAGAGTGGTTGAAAGTTGAATAGTGGTTACAAGAGGCTGGAGACAGTAGGAGAGAGAGATGGAGCAGGGAAAAGCTGATTAACAGATTCTAAGTTTAAGTTACCAGAAATTAGTTCTGTTGTTCTGCACAGTAGGGAAACTATGATAACAATACATTGTACATATGTATTTTAAAAACTATAAGAAAGGATTTTCAATACTTTCACCAAAGAGATAATTATTTGAGAAGATAGTTTACCCTGAATTAAACATTGTGTATATACATATATATGTGTGTATTGAGACATCCTATTATTCTTAAATATGTACAATAAAACATGTTTTGCAAACCTTAACACACAAACACATCTTTTCTTTCCTCTTCTTGATGCCCTACCTCGTGTCTTGAACTGCTGCATTCTTTAGCTAGTCAGATGCTCCTTTCTCATTTCTACCTGATCACCAGGTCTACATTTGTTGCTTTGGCCATCCTACCTTCCTGATTTTTTTCACTATCAGTTTTGCTTTTACTAGAGAGAGGAGAGGAGAGAGAACTCCCACCTTCTGGCTCACTTCTGAGATGCCTGCAGACCAAAGCTGGAAGTCAGGAAGTCAATCCACGTGGGTGGCAGGGATACAACCACTTGAGCCATCACTTGCTGTCTTCCAGGTTCTGCATTAGCAGGAAGCTGGAATTAGGAGCAAAGCTGGGACTCAAACCCAGGTACTTGGATATAGGATAAGGGCATCTTATGAACATCCTCACCACTAAGCCAAAGCTGACCTCCATTATAGCTTTATAACTGTAGGCAGACTTTTTTCACTTTGACAATGACTATATTTACACCAATAACAGAGTAAATCACCAATAACAGAGCAAATCACCATTACTTTGACTCTGGTAGATTATCCGACAAGAAGTGACTGTCCAAAATCAGTCCACATGCAGCAGTATTTTTTAAGCAAGGTATATAACAATAACTTTTTGGCATAAATTTAAGGGCCAAGGTCCACTTGCTTCCTAATTAGCAAAGATCTGAGCTCTGAGCCTCCTCAGTTGCATCATGCAGTCAGAAAACTTTCCCATGTGACTGGTTATACAATAGCAATAAAATGCTACAGTGACCAGAGCTGACAAAAGGATGTGTTTAGACATATTTAATCAGCACCTTTCTCTTTAATCAAATAAACCCTCTTGCCACAGGAAAGCAGTATATTTTCAGGCAGTCTTCGTCACTTGTATTTAAGGATACCAAAATATAGAAAGGTTCCATTTGGAAAGTTTCAGTATTACAGATTTTCCTTCACTGTTGAGCTAAAAATGAAATATACTTGACTATGCCATTCCTTTTAGAAACATTTTAAATATCATCAGCATTTTTTTACAGATTCTCTAATTTTGCTCCTTTTTCCCTATTATGAAAACAATTAGATGCAATTTAATGGGATTAAAACCAAATTTTGTCACAATTGTCTTAATGACTTCTTTTACTATTACACTCAGCAATGTCATTTTTTCATTTTCCTTTCATTCCTTAAATGATGAAAGTTAATTTAAGTAATGAATGGCACAATGACTGCTACAGGAGATGCTGCTGCTGCTAAAACCACCCCTTTTTGTCTCTGGGAGGACCAGTCTGTGATGGCACCAGAGGTCTAGTCATCAAATGAAACCCCAAATCCTTAACCTGCACCTAAGTGTAGATTATGCAAGCATAGAGTTTTTTCATTTTAGCAATAGCAAAAGACAGTATGCCTTCACAGCGGGGGAAGAAGCCAGTCATAAACACAAGAAATCTCAAAAGACCATGTATGCTTATGGTAAGCCATGCCATTCTAGAGTAACTTTGATTGTAGATGGCTGGTAGTGAGCTACCTCTGCTTTTCATCATATAAAGTCAGTTACTCTCCTCCGTGGAAAGCAAACCATTAGATGTTGTATGGAAAGGTTCTAATTTCAAAATTCAATGAATAAAGGTAGGTTTCCATGTCACATCAATTGTAAATTGAATTTGAAACTAAAGCTAGCATGCTTTTCAGGAAATGGTATCACTTTTGAGAACAAGTACTTTGTTTGGATAATACAGATTAAGGAGAAACACAATCCATAGATGTCTTACTCAAAGGGACACCTGTAACTCATCAATCCACTGCAGAAACTTGGAAGATGATTTCTTTGAACAGTTTATCTACAGATTTATTTTAATAAACTATGAGGAATAATTTTTCTGACACCTTATATTAGTAAAGATGTGTGACTAGTAGAACTTTTTGCAAAACTGCAGATGTGTAAAAAAAAGTTTAAGGCAATCTGCTGAATAACAAAGGTCAGGGCAATGAAATTTAGAAATAACTGAGTTTGTTTAGAAATCAAAGGATTCTTATACAGGCAAATACTATAACTTTCTGAGAAGATACACACACACACACACACACAAACATATTTGGAAGGCAGAGTGAAAGAAAAGAAGATGGGACTGGAGACATATAATAGTGTGTAACGTTGCCACTTGCAGAGTAAGCATCCCATATGGGCTCTAATTCGTGTCCTAGCTGCTCCACTTCTGATCCAGCTCCCTCCTAATGTGCCTGGGAAAAGCAGAGGAAGATGGCCCCAGTGTCTGGACCCCTGTCACCCACATGGGAGACCCAGAGGAAGCTCCTGGTTCCTAGTTTCAGCCTGGCCCAGTACTAGCCATTGTAGTCATCTGGGGGAGTGAACGAGTGGATGCAAGATCTCTCTCTTTCTCTCTCTCTGTAATTCTTTCAAAAATAAATCTTAAAAAAAAAAGAGAGAGGAAGATACACACAGAGAAATGGAGAGAGAGAGAGAGAGAGAGAAAGAAAGAAAGAAAAAGAAAGAAAGAAAGAAAGAAAATGAATCTGCCTCTTCACTCCCCAAATACCCACAACACCTAGGGCTGAGCAGGCTGAAGCCAGGAGTCAGGAACTCCATCCAAGTCTCCTACCAGGGCGGCAAGGACCCAAGCACATCTGCTACCTCCCAGGTATATGAATAGGAAGCTGGATCAAAAACAGAGGAAGGACTTGACTTCAGGCACTCCAACATGGGATACAGGTATCCCAAGCAGCAGCTTAACCCACTGTACCACAACACCTGCACCTCTGATTATGTATCTTAACATTAGACTTCCTTTGCTCTTCCTGTTTTTCCTTTCTTCAAATAAATAAATCTTAAAAAAAAAAGAATTTAACTTTTAAATATGTTTATCACCTTTTTGAAGTTATCTTTTTAGTGCATTATTGCTGGCTCATGTGAGTAAAAAAGCAAAGTAGCATCCAAAGAAAAGGACATCATACACCAAAGTGGCACCATATGCTCAAGTTTATTATACAGTCACAAGTTACACACTGGAAACTAGAACACTGTACCAGTTTTCACTAACTCAATTCAAGTTAGCAAATGACAGATTTTAAAACAGACTCATTTTATGTTTCACCCAATGTGGGTGATCACAAGAGAAGCTAAATAAAGACAACTATTTTCTATGTTACTTAGGCAGCAAATGAACTTGATATACACAGCTTCCAGGTTATCTTAAGATATTTCAAAGTTGTTTCAAGACTGGCAAGGAATAATTCATGTCCATCTTGAAATAAAATGGACCATTTAGGGGAAATAATTCCATCTGTATATCCACAGCCTAAAAAATACTAATACATTTTTGTTTAGATTAGGCTTACTAATGAGAACTTTGAAATTATCTAGGTTTGGTTACATTGTTATATTGCACTTGAGAACAATGACGACAAAAATCAAAATTTGAGTACCTCTCCTTAAGTAGTTCATTATGTATTTGAAATTACAATGAAATATAAGCACATAATACATGTTGTACATTAAAAGTTCATTGTTCATATTAGCCAACTAACAAGTTAAAAGAGATACGCTCCAAAATATGGAGGAATAATTTACTAGCCTTTTTAGAACCTTTAATCAATTTTAAAATTTTGTATTTTTTAAATTATACTTGTAAATATACAAGCTATCCAAAGGTACCAAGAGGGTGACACTGAGATTTGCAATGGCTACACACAAGTTTTTATAAAAACAGCTTATTCTTCTCCACCAGGTTCATCACTACATTCTGAAATTTAGGAGTACCTATCACTTGCAAAATCTGTTTGCGTAGGGCCGGCACCGCGGCTCACTAGGCTAATCCTCCGCCTAGCGGCGCCAGCACACTGGGTTCTAGTCCCGGTCGGGGCGCCGGATTCTGTCCCGGTTGCCCCTCTTCCAGGCCAGCCCTCTGCGCTCTGCTGTGGCCAGGGAGTGCAGTGGAGGATGGCCCAGGTGCTTGGGCCCTGCACCCCATGGGAGACCAGGAAAAGCACCTGACTCCTGGCTCCTGCCATCGGATCAGCGCGGTGCGCCGGCCGCAGCGCGCTAGCCGCGGCGGCCATTGGAGGGTGAACCAACGGCAAAGGAAGACCTTTCTCTCTGTCTCTCTCTCTCACTGTCCACTCTGCCTGTCAAAAGAAAAAAAAAATCTGTTTGCGTAATAAAAATCATCTGATCTATTATATTCTTTATTTGCCACAAAAATCTCTCCCTTAGAGTCATGATTCACTATCAAAAATCCTTCACAGCCTCCTTAAAGGACCCTATAAGTCTCTTACTAATTCTTTAATTATTCCCATAAACATACATATTGTGTTAATGATAATTAGCTATGAATTAGTAGTTCCAAACAGAATTGTGGCAGTATTTTGGCTAATTGTTTTACCTTTCAGAATTGTTAAGATCTTGATCAAAGTTAAAATGATAAATAATCATGAGAAAGCTAATTGAAAGAAAGGGAAAAAGGGATCCTCACACAAATATTTCTCAAACAGCAATTCTAAAACAAATACCAATATAAGAAATCAATATTAGTATCAATATTTCTCACCAATGTCAAATGCTTTTAACGTTCTCTAGATTTCTCATTTAAACTGTGTCACATTATGAGAATCTGAAACTTAAAATGGATTTTGATTCAACAAATTACAAATATAGTAGTATTTAAAATGTTTGAAGATTAAAATAATTTTCATAGGACTATTTTAAAATATGTAATCAGATGCACTCACATGCTACTTTAGGATAAAAAGAATCCCAACATTTTATTCAAGGAATGTTTTTTCAAACTATACTTCTCCATATTTTTGTATTGATATGGATTTTCATTTCTTTGAAAGAGAATGTATGCTGTTATTTGAAATTAAACTTTATAATTTAAAATATTATGTTAATTTCTAATTACAGTAGCTTTCAATCTGAACTAGAGGCTATAATAGAATGATTGTGCAAAAGCAAATACTAACACTTGTGTCAAAGAGTGTCTACCTAACATACATTTTCAGGAATGGCAGCTGTTAAATGAGAAAGCATACAAGTAAAAAGTTGTTATAGACCAACTTAGTGACTGGTGACAGGCAACACTTGACCCTGGGATAAAAATATTTTCTTATTAAAAAGATTTAAATTGCTTGGTAATCAAAATACTTATTACATATGATTAAGATCTTTTAAGTCTATATTCCAAAAACTATTAATTTTAAAATGCACTAAAGCTAAATATAGGGATTTGTCTATGTTCTAACTTGTATAACTCACTTAAATGTGCTTCTACTTTATGAACATGATTTTTGAAGATTAACTCAGCCACTTGTACATGGAATTACTATATAATAAGATATGGCAAATAAATCTCAATTATTTTTAAAACACATAAAAATAGTAAATTACTTAAGGGTAATACTATTTCCTGAAGAGGAAAGCAGTTAAAAAGCTATTAATCCCTCAATTTCTAATGTACACCATGATGTAATTGCACAAAAATGGGTACAGTTGATAGTCATCCTCGGGCACTGAGGAACTGTGAATAAATGATATATTCCATTAGAAGAGTCACTACCCTACAGGCATATAAAACTATAAAATTATCACTATGTGGCTTTTATTAAAAAATCTTAGAAAAGTGATTTGCATTAACAAATCTAAAAAAATTCTTCAAAGGTTTCAATAAGTTGAACTGCTTATAAAAATATCTTTTAGAAGTTATTCTGGCCAGCGCCGCGGCTCACTAGGCTAATCCTCCGCCTAGCGGCGCCAGCACACCGGGTTCTAGTCCCGGTCGGGGCGCTGGATTCTGTCCCGGTTGCCCCTCTTCCAGGCCAGCCCTCTGCTGTGGCCAGGGAGTGCAGTGGAGGATGGCCCAGGTGCTTGGGCCCTGCACCCCATGGGAGACCAGGAAAAGCACCTGACTCCTGGCTCCTGCCATCGGATCAGCGCGGTGCGCCGGCCGCAGTGCGCCGGCCGCGGCGGCCATGGAGGGTGAACCAACGGCAAAAGGAAGACCTTTCTCTCTGTCTCTCTCTCTCACTGTCCACTCTGCCTGTCAAAAAAATAAAAAAATAAAATAAAAAAAAAAAAAAAAAAAGAAGTTATTCTGATAGCTGAGACTCGTTTTACACATTATCTTGCTTATCCTAAGGTAATTTCCATGTAGGTAGCAAAAAAGCTGTGTTTAGAATTAAACCATTAAGCTAACTTATGCATTTTGATTCCAAGCATTCTCATGGAGTAGAATTGGGAAATTGAGGTTCTTGTAACTTGTAAGATTCCTCATTGGTCTTGACCTGTTTTCAGTATCAATTTTGGAAATAGAAGAAAAAACACACATATGAAAGGAAAATAAATTAATACCAATGAAAAATTCTGCTCTAATCTAAAAACATAATAACAAGCAATTATGTCAAAGAAGTACAAATGTTAAGGCTTTTAACCAAAATGCTTTCTGCTTTGTAATGTTGTTAGACTAAAGCAATGGACTAAGTGTACTTTGGAAATGAACTATAACTCCACACGATTTTAAGCATCATGATGTTTAGGTGAAATTAAACCATTACAGAAAAGAGGCATTTCTGACTACAGAACTAATTTCAGTATAGGCTGGCTTAAAGGATTTGCCATAGAAAATAAACTGTACAAGCAAAAATGCAATAAAATAGATTGTGGATTAAATATAAATAAAAATTAATAGCATGTATCTAATTTTCATATTAAAACAAAATATTGTACCTTTGTAGTCACAGGATAAAAAATTGTTAACATGAGTTTTTTTTTTTTTTTTAAAGTCCACTATATAGGTGATATTAATATCCAAGTTCATTCAGTTATAAAGTTTTTAGTAGCTTGAAAAGTGAATTGTAGTGTCATGTATATTAACATTAAGTACCTATACAAAAGATGTGGATGCTAAAGTCCAAATTTGCATTGCTTTAAAATAACAACAAACAAGAAAATTCCACATATAAATCAGAAACAGTGATTGTAGGAGGTACTATTTTATATAAAGTATAACTCAGGCACTACTATTTTCTGTACATTGAATAAAAACTCTACCACTTGAAATTTTATTATTTAAATAACTAAAAACACAAGTCAGTGTGCATTGTGTTAAATGTATGTCTGAACTGATTTATAAAGAGAAGGATGATAAATACTTGTATTGCTCTCATGTCATGGGTAAGACCATGGGGGACCATTAGCAGGAAAGTTTTGGAATTTCGTTCTTGATGACAAAGATTTAAATTTATAATGAAGCTGATGTTCTGATGGTTAAGATGAAGCATAACTTGGAAAACTGCAGCTAAGTTTCTGAGTTTCCTTCACCATTTTCATGAGGTTGAAGCTGTTCTCTTTCTTGCTCTTCTTGAGGTGGCCGGACTCGCTTAAAAAAGCCCATCTGTCAGGTGAAGAAAAACCAATCTTATTGTCACACAGGTGTAGATTACTAAAAGTACTTTTTTTAGTGACTAGCATATAAGTAAGAACATTTGTTTGGCAGTCAACGTCTCTTCCCTTAAATAAAAGGTAATGCCCACCAAGTGTCACCATGGGAAGTCCCTGTCATCCTTTCTTCCTTCTTGTTCATTCCTTCTTCTTTCCAGGCCCCCTTTCCCTTTGTCTGTTTTCCCTCTCTTCCTGGCTTCCTCTCTTTCAAAATTCATTACTTACCCTGTACATGACAAACACCAAAACAGCCAGTAACAACAGTCCTGCCAGAACTGCTAAAATGATCACCCACACAGGCACAGGCATGGGCGCTGGCTGAATGCCCCAGGTGACGTTAGTGGTAACCTGGTGGGGGAAGAAAAGGTTTTTAGTCCTAATAATGGTTTACTGACTCAATCACAAACTATAGGAGTGCCTATTATATTTTATTTTAGCATTATTTACATTATATTCTTTTCTTGGTTAGGATAATTTAATGATAGTGGTGTTTGGTATCAATGGCATGCACAAACACAAATAAAAAAAGTTAACCAATAACAGGTTAACCAATAACAGGTTAACTTCTGACTCATCTGAAATGATTTCTTAAGTAATCCAAACCAGTTTATGATGTGCTGAATTTTTTATTCTTAAATATCTCCAAAATGCTTCCAGATGCTGAAATTAATTTCCAACTTCCTAATTTTATGAGGGGAAATTTCTGAATTTCCCCAATGTAACTTTGTGCATATGAGGATATTTCAAAGACCCCTGTAGACAGTGTGCATTATCTTTTAATTCTATTTTTCCAAAAACCTTTGAAGTATTCTCATACTAAAAAAATAAATAAATAAAAGTTCATATAGGAAAAGACACTAGAGTAAAGCATCTACTTTTAATAATTCGGGGGTGAGGTAGTAAAGTAGTAATGTTATCATCCTACCATATAACTCTTCATTACTTTATATTATTGAAACAAACTGCCATTTTCAAAAACAAAATAAAAATATCTAAGACCTTTGAACTGAATTCATTTATCCCATTTCCCTAAATCAGTGACTTACCAATGTAGAATTGAAGATATCCTCAATTGGAAGATTCTTATATGGAAACTCTATGACATTAAATGAAGCAGATGACTTCAGAGAGTATGAATGATTCTGGTTTTCCTTCTGTAATGGAAATAACAACAAGATGGTTACCCAAATGTCTAGCTTTCTTAATTTGTTGAGAAAAAAAATGGATAAGTATGACAAGTGCTGCATCTGTCTACTCACATTCATAAAGGTCTCAGTCCACAGTAGAGACTTGACATACAGGATTGCACTTTTGCCTCTGTCTAGTCGCCCTACTTGGCAGACAATCCTCAAGCACTGAGCAATGCCACAACCCTAAAAAGACAAATATTTATGTATAAGAAATGGTCATTTCACCATCTTTTCAATATCTGAAAATCAGACATTTTATTTTACTCTTTGTGAAGGCCAAAGATAAAGTATCCAGATTCTTTTGTAGGAATAATACATAAAGAGGCTAATGGTTGAGTTTACAGATGTTTTTTGTTATGAGGGTGCCTGTTATATTCTTTTTTTTTTTAAGATTTATTTATGTATTTGAAAGATAGAGTAATAGGAGAGACAGAAGGAAATAGAGCTCTTCCACACACTGGTTCACTCCCCAGATGCTTGCAACAATCAGAGCTTAGGACAAAGGCAGGAGCCAGAACTCCATTCAGGTCTCCCATGCAGGTGGCAGGAACCCAAGCATCTGAGTCATCATCTGCTGCCTCTCACGTGCATTAGCAGAGGACTGGATCAGAGTCGCTGGGATTCAGTCGGGCACTCTGATATAGGATGTGCATGTCCCAAGTGGCAGCTGAACCGACTGCCTCACAACATCAGCCCTGAAGGTATTGATTTTAATGTCATGTTACAGGAGGATAAAATCAATAACATTAAAAGATTCACTTTTATGACTAGAATTCAATATTCTTTAGGCAAATCCAGAGCATCATGATTACAATAAGACATGAAAATCAGATCACAATATCCCTGTGGAAAAGAAAAGGAAAACAGATGAATTCTTAATAGTTACTCAATGTCAGATCTATAGAAATCACATGGCATGCTGAGGGTCTCTACCACATCCAGTGTTGTTATCTGTAACTTGAAGATAGGCACTAAAAGAAACAAATATTCACCACTTTCCATGTGCTGGTCATATTGGATTGGATACACCACTTTGCATGCAGTATTGACATCTGATAGATGGTTGTACCAGTTGATGACTAGGAATAGAACTGAGCTTCTCAGACTCATTAAAAAGCATCTGAAAAGCCCGCAGCTAATATCATATTTAATGGTGAAAGACTTGATATGTTTGCTGTAAGACAAGGAATAAGACAAGAATGCCCACTCAAGCCACTTCTATTCAACAATGTCCAGAAGGTTCTATCTAATGTAATCAATCAAGAAAGAAGAAGCCATCCAGATTAGAAAGAATGAACTGAAGTTATCTCTTTGCAGGTGACAAGAATCTTATATATAGAAAACTTTATGTAATATACACTAAAACTAGTGAAGAACTAATATACAAGGACAGAAAAGTTGCAGAATTCAAGATCAAGATATAAACAGCCATGAAAAATGTGAAAACAGTGCTAAAAATAAAATACAGTAAAATAATTTAACCAAGTGTTGGTTACTACACCCAAAGCTACAAAATGTTGGTAATAGAAATTAAAGAAGACCTAAATAAACAGAAAGACATCCCATGTTCATGGAGTGAAAGATGTAATATTGCTAAGTTGGCTATACTTCCCAAGCTGATAAAGACTCAACAAAATTGCTATCAAAATTCCGACAGAGGGACCAGAGTTGTGACACAGCAGGTTAAACCATCATTTGTGATGCCAGCATCCCATACCAAAGTGTTGGTTTGAGTCCTAGATGTTCTGTTTCTGATCTAGCCCCTGCTAATGCACCTGGAAAGGTAGCAGATAATGGCACAAGTGCGTGGGCCCTTATCATACATGTGGGAAACCTGGATGGAGTTCTACCCCCTGTCTTTTTTTATGTCCCAGTCCTGTTTGTTGTGGCCATTTCGGGATGGATGGAAAATCTCTCTTTCTCTCTCTCTCCCTCCTTTCCTACCAGTTTCTCCGGTGTTAGCCTTTCAACTAGCTAACTAAATAAATCATTTTTTAAAAAAATTCCAACAGAAATTGACAAGTTTATCCTAAAATTCATATGAAATTGCAAGGGACCCCAAATAGCGAAAATAATTTTTTAAAGATTTATTTATTTATTTGAAAGTTAGAGTTACACAGAGAGAAGATAGGCAGAGCGAGAGAGAGGTCCCCGATCCACTGGTTCACTCCCCCAGATTGCCGCAACAGATGAAGCTGCACTGATCCAAAGCCAAGAGCCAGGAGCTTCTTCTGGGTCTCCCATGCGAGTGCAGAGGCCCAAGGACTTGGGCCATCTTCTACTGTTTTCCCAGGCCATAGCAGAGAGCTGGGTTGGAAGAGGAGCAGCCGGGACTAGAACTGGCACCCCACATGGGATGCCGGCACTTCAGACCAGGGCTTTAACCTGCTGCACCACAGCGCTGGCCCCCAAAATAATCTTGAGAAAGAAAAAGATATTGGGGCTGCCACTGTGGTGTAGCAAGTAAAGTTGCCACCTGTAGTGCCTACATCCCATATGAACGCTGGTTCAAGTCCTGGCTGCTCCACTTCCAATCTAGCTCTCTGCTATGGCCTAGGAAAGCAGAAGATGGCCCAAGTCCTTGGATCCCTGCACCCATGTGGGAAGACCCGAAGGAAGCTCCTGGCTCCTGGCTTCGGATCAGCGCAGCTCCGGCCACTGTGGCAAATTGAGGAGTGAACTAGCAGGTGGAGGACCAACCTCTCTCTGCCTCTCCTTCTCTCTCTGTAACTCTGACTTTCAAATAAATAAATAAATCTTTTAAAAAAGAAAAAATATTAGATGATTCACACTTCTCTAATTGCAATCCTACTGCAGAGCTATAGTAACCAAACCAAGTTGTTTTGGTTACTATAGCTCTGCAGTAGGATTGCAATTATATATATATATATATATATATATATATATATATATATATGATCAATTTGTTTCCAACAAGTTACCATGATATCAAGACCATTTAGATAAATACTGCTGCAACAACTGGATAGCCACATGTAAAAGAATAATTCTGGACCCCTATCTTATATCAGACAGAAAAATTAATTCAAAATGAATCAAAGGCGGAAACTTAAGAAATACTAGTATAAAACTTCAGAAAACTAGAAAACTTTGTCATAAATATTCATGACCTTGATTTGGGGAATATTTTTTAAAATATGACAATACAAGTACAAACATAAAAGAAGTCAAATTGGACTTCCAATTTAAAAATTTTTGTGCACCAAGGATACTATCAAGAAAATGAAAAGATAACTCACACAGAATTAGAGAAAATACATATAATAAGGATAGAATCCACAAAAAAGAATCTTTTAAAACTCAACAAAAGAAGGCAAACAAACTAACTTAAAAATGGGCAAAGGATTACTGACGCCATAAACAAGTCAATTGTTAAGTCAACAACAGGAGTCACTGTGCACTTACTCCTCATGTAGGATCTCTGTCCTTAATGTGTTGTACAATGTGATTTAATGCTACAACTATTACTCAAACAGTACTTTACACTTTGTGTTTCTGTGTGGGTACAAACTGTTGAAATTTTTACTTAATATATACTAAACTGATCTTCTGTATATAAAGATAATTGAAAATTAATCTTGATGTGAATGGAATGTGAGAGGGAGCAGGAGATGGGAGGGTTGCGAGTGGGAGGGAAGTTATGGGGGGGGGAAGCCATTGTAATCCAAAAGCTGTACTTTGGAAATTTATATTTATTAAGTAAAAGTTTAAAAAAATATATTAAAAAATGGGCAAAGAATGTGAATCCAAGCCACAATGAGCTACTTCTTCATTTACTAAAACAACTATGAACATTTTAAGGCAACAGAACAAAAATAGACAATAACAAGTGTTGACAAGTATGTGGAGAAACTGAATCCTCATACATTGTTGGCTGAGAGTATAAAATGGTACAGCCACTTTGGAAAATCGTTTGGCAATTCCCAAAAACGTTAAACACAGCATTTCCATACAACACAGCAATTCCACTCCTAGTTGTATTCCTAAGAAAACTGAAAAGTATTTGCTCTCACAAAAACTTGTGTATGAATGTTCCTTTGTCTGCTTTGTCTACCATTCAAAATGGAAACAACCCAACTATCCTTCAAACTGATGAATGGATAAACAAAAGGTGGTATAACCACAGAATGGAATACTATTCAGCCATAAAAATGAATGAAGTACTAAATCAAGGAGTCCTCAAAAGTATTATGGAAGATACATATTATAGGAAAAAAATGTATGGTACTCAGAATTTCTTGCCCCAAATAAACTAATTATTTTAATTGCCTTTCCCATGAACTTCTTAAAGTACTCTCATATATGCTACAACATGGATGACATCTTGAAAACATGCCAAGTAGAAGAAGCCATATAACCAAAAGCCACATATATTATTTGTTATGATGTTCAGAATATATAGGATTACCAGGGATTGGTAGTAGGGGAGAATGGTGAATGACAGCTTAATGAGAACTGCATTTCTTTTGGAAGTGACAAAAATGTTTTAGAATTATGATGGCTATTGCTGTGCAATGTTGTGAACAGATTAAGAACCAGTGAATTATATATTTTAATTAATTAATCTAATTAATCATAATTATTAATTTAATTATGTAATTTAATTAATTGAAGTGGTTGAGATGGATTTTATCTTATATAAGTTTCTTCTCAATTTTTTAAAAACACAATTCTGTAGGAAGATAGAGGGTGCAGGACCAAAAGCAGGGCAGATGTAGAAGGCATCTTCTATTTCATAGGATAGTCATGGAAGTACTCCATCATATATTCATTTCTTAAAGATTTACTTATTGGGGCCAGTGCTGTGGCACAGTAGGTTAAGCCTCCACCTGTGGCTCTGGCATCCCATATGGGCGACAGTTTGAGTTCTGGCAGCTCCACTTCTGATCCAGCTCTCTGCAGATGGCCTGGGAAAGCAGTAGAAGATGGCTCAAGTGCTTGGGCCCCTGCACCTATGAGGGAGACCAACTAGGAGTTTAGCAATAGTCCAAATCAGAGAGGAAGGTTGGACTGGGTTAGGCTGCGGCAGTGCTACATAGAACATACAAGAAGCCTGATTCTGGGTATTTTGAAAGCAGATGCTGATAGGATTTGATGAAAAGCAGGATGTGAGGTTTGAGGGATACAGAGGAATGAAGCATGATGCATAGAGTTTAGACAGAGAATGGAATGAATATTTACTAAAATGTGGACCACAGTGGAAGGAATAGCATTGAGAAAATTCAAGGTTATAATTTTAGAGTAAGTTTGAGATTCCCATTAGATAATTAAGAGAAGTTCTTGTACGCAGTTGGATCTGGCATTCATAGAATCTGACATTCATAGAATCTGACATTCATAGAAATAACTAGTGCTTGCTATTGAACATGAACATTATACCAGGATTTCTACTAGAGGCTGACTTGCAAAATGTTAAATTTTCCTTTTTTTTTTTTTTTTTGACAGGTAGAGTTATAGACAGTGAGAGAGAGACAGAGAGGTCTTCCTTTCATTGGGTCACTCCCCAAATGGCCGTCACAACTGGTGCTGCACCGATCCGAAGCCAGGAGCCAGGTGCTTCTTCCTGGTCTCCCATGCAGGTGCAGGGGCCCAAGCACTTGGGCCATCCTCCACTGCACTCCCAGGCCACAGCAGAGAGCTGGACTGGAAGAGGAGCAACCGGGACTAGAACCCAGTCCCATACTGGCGCTGCAGGAGGAGGATTAACCACGTGAGCCATGGCGCTGACTCCAAAATGTTAAATTTTCAAAAACTTAATTTAGCACCTTCAAAACATTATAGTCATTACCTAGGCTGACTCAACAAAATTGAATCATATTGGTAAATACTCTTCTATTATATTTTTGTTGAGGTCTTCTGGGTTTTTAAGAATATTGCCCTAAAGCCTCAAAGATTAGGATAAGGCCAAGAAAGAGAACCAGTAAAGGGATGCAGTCAGAAAAATGAGTTGGAACATAAAATATTTTTATTAGCAATCCATAAAGGTAGAACATTTGAGGAAAGTTTGGCAAAAATTTGACCAGAGGAAAGAGGACCGAAAGGTGTAAAAATGTGTGTAGCTCTTTCAGGCACAGCTGTTGTTATTTTTGAATGTTCTTTGGCATCTATTTGTAATCGCATATTTTAAAATGTTTACAGTGAGTGTACTTGAAATGGCACTTACCAAAGTGTGAACATCCCCTTCACCAAGGGTGAGATCCCGCTTCATGACGACGTGGCTCCGGTCACCTTGCCCAGCAACTGAGTCATTCTTTTCAGTTGTTTGCAAAGATGAGACCTGCATTAACAAATGGTGGGAAATGATAAGAGCAAACATTTTACATTAACATTTTGACTTGAACACAGATTCATAATGAAATAATAATGAGTAAAAATTTGCTATGATGGAAAATTCACCACTTAAAACATGGCATCCAATAAGATTAGAGTTCTTAATATGTACAAAAAGAGTTGGCTTTCCCTAGACATCCCATTTTTTCTTGCATAGATAGAGGCTATCAGGGAAGCTAATGAAACACAGAAACAGTCTGTAATACCACAGAACATCTGTGATGAGTGTCAGTTATGAGTACATTTTTTATTTTGTTTTCTTAACCTTCCTTAGACCACATTGTCCAATAGCTTCTTATGCAAATATACGTGCTAAGATGGATACAACTATATCCAGAAGCATATGTATATTTGTAAAATGACATTTTTGTAGGTCACGTAGGTCAAGTGAGTCATGAGTTAAATTGTGTACCTGATTCTAAAGACAGAAACTCAACACACACTCAGGACACAATATTATACACTGGATAAATGCAATGGAGCAAAAGTCAAATTGAGCCACTTAAGAATATCTCCTGTGACTCACTAAACACTCAATAATTGCATGGCTCATTAGGACTTCACAAAATTAATTCTTATCTGTTATAAAATCTATTCCTGGGGCCAGCATTATTGCATAACGGATTAAGCCACTGCTTGTAATACCGGTGTCACATATGGGCACTGGTTAGTGTCCTGGATGCTCCACTTTCTCTCTCTCTCTCTTTTTTTTTTTTTTTTGACTGCTAGAGTCAAAGACAGTGAGAGAGAGAGACAGAGAGAAAGGTCTTCCTTCCGTGGTTCACTCCCCTAATGGCCGCCACGGGTGGAACTGCGCTGATCCAAAGTCAGGAGCCAGGAGCCTCCTCCTGGTCTCCCATGCTGGTGCAGGGCCCAAGGACTTGGGCCATCCTCCACTGCACTCCCAGGCCACAGCAGAGAGCTGGCCTGGAAGAGGAGCAACTGGGACTAGAACCCAGCGCCCATATGGGATGCTGGCGCCACAGGCGGAGGATTAACCAAGTGAACCACAGCGCTGGTGCCGCGGCCCCCAGGCTGCCCCACTTTCAATCCACCTCCCTGATAATGCACCTGGGAAAGTAGTAGAAGATGGCCCAAGTACTTGGGCCCCTGCCACCCATGTGGGAGACCTGGAAGAAGCTCCTGGCTCCTGGCTTCAGCCTGGCCCAACCCTGGCCATTGTGGCCATCTGGGGAGTAAACCAGAGGATGGAACATCTATCTCTGGCTGTCTTGCTCTGTAACTCTTTCAGATGAATAAAATAAATGTTTAAAATAAATAAGTAATCTAATCCTTAGTGTATTAGTTACAAACTAAAATATTTTTGCAGAATTGTTTGTGCATTAAAATAGTTGTTTCATTTCCTGCATTTCATTTATAGGTTGAGAGAGTAACAAGAAAAAAAAAAAAAGCATGATTAAGGGCTGTTTTTAAACACATTACCTTAATTCTCAAAGGATTGATCTCCATATCTGAAGTACAGTTCATTGGCCCATCAATGTCATAATGAAGAATGTACAACAAAGTGTTGTTGTTATATTTATAAGGCCACTGAAGGTTCAGCATTGCCTTGCTGAATGAACTTGGACCATTGTTTCTCAGCTAACGAGAAAGAGAAAATGAAAATAATGTAGGCAAAAAATCCATTCTAGAATTGTTCTCATGTCAAATTTAGAAATGACGCTAATGACAAATCAACAAGATTTGACTTTCCATTGTATGGTTCTAATATTACAACAAGACCATTAATATGCAAAAGAAATCAAACTCAACAGTTATTTTTAAAGTAGACTAATATGAATGAGAATATGCCAGAATGAAAATATAAACCAAATGTAAAAATATTTTAAAAGTTATTAATGAACAATAACAAAAAAAGTTCTTCCTAAAGAAATATTACCTGTTAAAGGCATATCCAATTTTTACTTAGCAATGCAATAGGTTCATGAGAAAATACCCAATTCCTTGTTTCTTTTATTCGAGAAGAACTTACTGGTTTTAAACAACATCTTTTTAAAACATAGAAAATAAACCATAAATCATAAGCTATTTCTAATAAAAATGTACTTATGAATAAGGAAGATTTTGATAGAAATCCCTGATACATATAGAAGCTGTGCACAGTTTATGTAAAAACTAAATGGAATTATTTTAAATCAGCTTAGCTGTTCTTCTCTTTGCTGGCTCTCATTAGGTTCAGTTAAATCTAACAGCCGCAAACCTCATAGATGTGCTGAACAACTGGACCAACGTCTTCTTCAGTCTCAGGATTCTCTTTGTATTCCCAATTTGGAATTGGAAGAAAGATATGATCAGGACTTGAGACTCTAAACAGTGATTAAAGAAAACCTACCATGAATATCAAAGTGGCATTGTCAGTACATTTTCAAAAGTATACATATTCAAAGAATAAAATTAGACCTAATAAAAATATATTTTAAAAGAAACAATTAGTGAATGCAGGTATGCACAAAAACTGTTCTTACTAAACTTACTTTTTAATAGCTGAATTGGACAGTAAATCTGTGGGACTTCCACTGTGGTGCAGGTTAAAGCCAATGCCTACAATGCCAGTATCCCATTTGGGTGACATTGATTTGAGTCCTGTTTGCTCCACTTCCAATCCAGCCTCCCATTATTGCGCCAAAAAAGGCAGCTGAATATGTCCCAAATGCTCAGGTCCTTGCTACCCATATGAAAGACCCATACAGACTTCCAGGCTCCTTGCTTGGGCCTGGCCCAGCCCCCGTTGTCCCAGCCATTTGAAGAGTGAACCAACAAATGGACAATCTCTCTCTCTTTCTCTATGTCTCTCCCTCTCTCTGCCTTTTCAATAAATAAATAAATCTTTTTTTAAAAAAAAGTAAAGTAAGTTTGTGAAGGTTTAATAAACTTATGTCATGCTTGTTCCCGTGTCTTACTCCTTCCCAAAGTAATATCAAATAAACATTTGGAGCTTTGGAACACACTTAAGACCTAATAGCTATCAAAGTTACTGTCTTAGTAAAACTACTCCAAAAGAGGCTAAGGTCTAGAAGTTGCTTTTAGAAAGCAATCACAAGAATGAGACATTTAACTTCGTGATCATACTGACCCTCTTATCTCAACAGCAGCTAAAACAGCAAGATCAACTTTGTAGGATACTACTGGGCTTACTTTGTCAAAAAGGTTGGAGCTGAAAAGGAAAGAAAACATATTTAGGACTGAAATGAGCAAAATCTCCATCAAAATAATGCAGAAACCCAGTGAAAGTAAAAATGAACAAATTAACAGTAAAGATAAAATAAGCACGAATCAAAAGAATTATTTCCATTTCCACATAATTCTGATGATTTTTCTCTTATTTTTAAATTTTGTCTTGCAAACTCAAAGCTGGAAAAATTATTCTTATAATGTAAATGTAAATGTAAATTTTTAAAATGCTATAATCAAGCACTGAAATTTTAATTGATATATTACATAATCATTAAGCATAGTACATATTTATAACAAAGATTTTCCTCCAAATTGTTATAAAGTTCTTCTCATACCTTTGAATTTGTAAATCAAATTTCACAGAAGTATCCATCTCTGATTGCTGGTGCACACTGAAACGAAGACCAGCTACGAGCTGAAGGGGAGAAGAAAAGAGGATAATTTAAGAACAAATGGCAGTATATAATCATGTTAGCCAATGTCTAATCAGTGAAATTGTAAATCCAAGTCAAACAAATATAGCTCTAAAATACGGTTTTCCTTTTTCTTTTAAATTTTATTATTTATTTGAAAGACAGAGTTTATACATATATAACTTTACATATATGTATATATGTGTGTGTGTGTGTGTGTATATATATATATAAATGGGGGGGGTGGGGAGAGAGAGAGAGAATCTTCCATCCACCATTTCAATCCCCAAAGGGCCACAACAGCCACAGCTGGGCCAGACCAAAGCCAGGAGCTTAATCTGGGTTTTACACAAGGGTGGCAGGGTCCCAAGCACTTGGGCCATCTTCCATTGCTTTACCAGGAGCATTAGCAGGGAGCTGGCCAGGAAGTGGAACAGCCAGAATGCCAGCTGGTGAACATATGGGATGCCAGCATCACAGGCAGTGGCTTAGCCTGCTGTGTCACAATGCTGGCCCTCTAAAATAGAGTTTTTCTGAGCTAACAATAAAACCGAACAAAGATAACTAAATCTGATTTTCTACTGAATCTCTTTAAGATTTCTGGGCCAATCCATAATAGAGCCTTTAAAAAAAGGTTTATTTATGTATGTATTTATTTGAAAGGTAGCACAACAGAGAAGGGAGAGATTTTCCATCCACTGGTTCCCTCCCCAAATGGTCACGCCAGTCAGGGCTGGATCAGAAGCCATGTCCTGGTCTCCTGCAGGGATGGAAGGGGCCCGAGCACTTGTCATCCGTGATGGAGCCTTTTTAATGCAATTACCAATCATAATTAACTCCTTATAATATTGAGTATCTTCCTGAAAGTAAATGCAATAAAATATCTGTTGATCCAGTCAAAGTACAGTAAAGAGACAAATGATTTGGTAAAAGGAAGCTAATAACAGAACTGTGTTCATGGGCAAGAAAAGAAGAAAGGGATAGTTGGTAAAAGTAAGACTCTGGCTGACGTGGGCATGAGTCAGGCGTGCAGTGCACAGCAGTTTAAGCCACTGCCTGTGAGGCTAACACTAGTATGAGTCCTGGCTACTCTGGTTCTGAGCCACCTACCTGCTAATGTACCTGGAAAAGCAGCAGAAGATGGCCCAAGTGTTTTCTACCCATGTGGGAAACCCAGATGGAGTTCTAGGCTCCTGCCTAAGGCTTGGACAAACCCCAGTTGTTGAGGCCATTTGGGGAGTGAACCAGTGCATTGAAAACCTGTTATTTCTTTCTGGGTTTCTCGCTCTTCTTCTCTGCCCCCCACCTTTCAAATAAGTAAAAAAAAAAATCTTTTTAAAAATGAAGAATGCATTGGTGTGGCCAGAACCAGAATTTTTTTTCACACCACTTCACAACCCTCAGACACCAAATATCCTAACTCCTACAGGTAGAAAATTGAGACATTTTAAAGAAAACAATCAAGTTGCAAGGTATAAGAAAACATGCTTCTAGCAGAATCATATACATGACACATAAATTTGTACTTCTAGGGCAGGTATCTGGTATTGGGCACAGTGATCAGGACACCACTTGGGACAGCCACATCCCGTACTGAAGTTCCTGAGTTAACATCCTAGGTGCGCTCCGATTCCACCTTCCTGCTAACACACACCAGGGGAGGCAGAAGGTAATGGCTCAAGGATCCGGGCTCCTGGCTTTGGCCTGGCCAAACCACACTATTGTGAGCATTTGGGGAATAAACCAGCAGAAAGAAGGCCTCTCTCTGATGTGGTCTTTCTGTCTCTCTGCCTTTCAAATCGAAATGAAAATAAATAAATGAATTTTTAAAAATGGTACTTCCTGAGGACTTTACAAAGCCAAGAGCTGGCCATCTGGAATAACAGGAACTATCTATAATGAGGGAGCTGTGAACAATAACAACAAAAAAAGCTACAAGGAGTGAGACTAAAAGGCAAGCTGACTTGCTAACTGACTACTTGTGGAAAAACAGAACGCAGGATATTTTGTTCAATGCCTCTTTCCTAAGAAAACACATATATAGAAATAATGACTTTAATGAAAAATACACCAAAAGTGACACAGAATATTTATATTCATATTAACACATCTTCAAATTATCAGTGTGCCATTAAATAAATTTTGTTGAAATGGTAACATAATATGTACTGGCATTTGTTCTTAGATTCTAAGAATTCTACAAGGTACATTTCATTCACTTTTTAGAAGGTTGGGAAGAGATGCACGGTGTGCTTCTTTCCAAGCTCCTGTGCTGCTATTCCACCATGTAAGGGGGAAACTGATCCAACGAAGCCTTATTTTGGGCCCTGTATAGGACAACATAGGGCTTCAAGTTCAGGAGATAACTCTATCTCATCTAAGAACATCAGTCCTAGTATTTACCAGAGTGGTTTTTGAGGATCCACTAAAGTATGTATTAAAATATCCAAATTATGGGACCAGGCTCGTAGCACAGCAGGTAAAACCGCTGCCTGTCATGCCAGCACCCCATATCGACACCAGTTTATGTTCTGGCCACTCCACTTTCAATCCAGCTCCTGGCTAACAGACTGGGAAAAGCAGCAGCAGATGGCCCGAGTGTTGGTTCCCCTGCCACCTTTGCGGGAGATGAAGCTCCCGGCTGCTGACTTTGTCCTGGTCCAGCCTGGGCAGTTGCAGCTACCTGGGAACTAAACCAGCAGAAAGACAATCTCTCTCTGTCTCTGCCTCTCTCTCTGTAACTCTCTAAAATAAATAAATAAATCTTTAAAAATATATAAAATAAAATATCAAAATTATAACTTGAGACCTCAGTTTAAACCCGTGGTGGGGAATAACTGGCCTGTGGATGTATAAGGCCTGCAAAATCATTTGGTCTGGCCCTGTCAAGGCAACTGCAGGTGGGACTCAAATGATACAATAAATCTATATATATATAGGCTAGTTTTTAAATTGATAATTCTGTATAGTCCATGAATAATGTGATAAATATCCAAATGACCTTGGGAGAATAAAGGTTCCCAACCCTGACTTACACCACATTCTTGCCTATTTACCATACTGAAAGCATTGTAAAGGATGGTCACCTAATAGTGTAATAACATAACCTATTGTTTTGGTATCTTAATTAAAGTTAAATAAAATTCTGCTAATTACTAAACTCTGTTATTTACTAAATCAAAACCAATTTGAAGACATTATTATAAAATGTTTATTCAAGAAATCACTATGTAAAAACCTAAAAAAAAAAAGCATGTGATTCTATTTATGGAGGAAAAATTTATTTAATTAAAATGTCTTACTTGGGTTCCAGCCTTCATTGGATTACCAAGATCACAAACCACCTGGCGGGTTTGGTTTTCTGTCTTAAATGCACAGGAAAGTCTTGCCAAGGCCTTTGATGGACAAAGAAACAGGATGTGAAATTCAAATAAATCTATGACCAAAAAAAGTAAATAAATAAAATGCAGAAGACACAAGACTAAAGTTCTTACATAATATCAAGTGGTTGGATATTTAAGTTTCTTTTTTTGATGAAGCAAATTCATCTATTTGAGCAAACCAAGGCTAAGACAGAAGCCAGAATTGGGTACAACTGCCACATAGAAATGTAAAAGTGTGTCTGAAAGATCCCAAGAGGACTTAGATATGTAACTATATTGCCTCTGGCAAAGAATTTGATGGACAGGCTTAGACACCTTATCCATCTGACCTTGTTTTCAGACACTAAGCTAGCAATTCTAAAAATGTCATATCAATGCATTGCACAACGTATTAGGCTTGAAAGGGATTATGTAAAACCAGCACACTACTGTCTAGCAATTGAGCCTGAGGTAGAATGGCTAAGCTTATGCTTCACTAAACAGGGGAGTAGTTCATTATTGTTAACAAGACCCATGAGTGCATTTTAATGTTTAAAGAGAAACTTGCATACTTCACTGTTTCGGACAACCCCAATGAAGTCAGCCTGCGGTGGGATGGAAATGATGAGCTCAGCCTCATATGCACCTTCCCCTTGATTCTCAGCCTGAACGACCAATGTCAGAGGGTTGTCATCCCCAATATAGATCTTCTTTTGATCACTGCAAGTTAATACAGATCCAGACGGTGAAAAAAAAAGACGATACAGGGAGCATATGACAATTCAAAGAAACGAAAGATAAATACACAGACAGCACTGACAAGTTCATCAGCATCTTCAGATATTTTAAGACTACTTCACAGCTCAACAGAAACAGAAAATAGCACAGTAGATACAAATTCAATGCTTCTCTCAGTAAAACACTGATGCAATTAATACATAATAAGTGTTCACATTTATTACTGAATTTTCTAACTCTGCATCTGCTTAATTCCCAGATTTCTTTTTTTAATAGCTGGATTAATCATTTGTCATGATTCTCATAGGATTCTTTATCATAGGTGTATATATATATATATATATATATATTTTGACAGGCAGAGTGGACAGTGGGAGAGAGAGACAGAAAGGTCTTCCTTTGCTGTTGGTTCACACCACGCTAATCCGATGGCAGGAGCCAGGTGCTTCTCCTGGTCTCCCATGGGGTGCAGGGCCCAAGCACTTGGGCCATCCTCCACTGCACTCCCTGGCCACAGCAGAGAGCTGGCCTGGAAGAGGGGAAACCGGGACAGAATCCGGCGCCCCGACCGGGACTAGAACCCGGTGTGCCGGCGCCGCAAGGCGGAGGATTAGCCTCTTGAGCCGCGGCGCCGGCCTATCATAGGTATATAATATAGACTAGTAGGAATATACTTTGGAGTATGTCTACAATGAAGTAAACCTTTAAAATAACATCATATTACTTTGTGACACTACCCATTGCTGAATGGTAATAAATAAGTCTACCTAGGTAACTGGTGAAAACACAGCTGATATTTTTGTTGAGGCTTCAGACTTTTAATTTTGTTATAGAAAATCATGTATTATAATCCAATATAACTACTTATTAAAACATACTCACACTTTGAATAGGAAAATGTGCTCTTTCACCTACATTACTAATTATATTGTTTCTTGTTTAGAACAAAACTTACCTATCTACAGAAACTTTCAATTTGGGTTTGCACACATTGTCTTCACCACAGTCAAGTAGAATATGTGCCTAGAAAAAAACATTTTTTCTATGTGATAAAATATCAGTATAGGTTATAAATGAAGCACATATCAATGTACATTTGTGGATATATACATATGTACACAATTTTTTTTCTTTTTCTTTTGAAAGGCAGAGTTACAGAGACGAGAGGAAGAGACAGAGGTTTTCTATCTGCTGGTTCACTCTCCAATTGGCTGCAATGGCTGGGACTGGGGCAGGAGACATAAGCCTCTTCCAGGTCTCCCACTTGGATGCAGGAGCTGAAGGACTTGGGCCATCCTCTGCTGCTTTCCCAGGGAGCTGGATTGGGAGTGGGAGCAGCTGGGAATCTCATATGGATGCCAGTGTTGCAGGCAGTGGCTTAACCAGCTACGGCACAATGCCAGCACCACAGGCAAATTTTTATGTACACTCCTCAAATTGTCTGCCACCTAAATGCAGACAAGATCATGGCCACTTATCTTTAAGTGCAGCGGGCTGAGAACGAGAAAGGAAAAAAAAGATCCACGGTGCATAATACGATTCTTGGAACTTAGTTTTATCTCAAATTTGCTGTTATCATTTTGGCATATTCTGAATGAAATATTCAAGAAATAAGGATCTGTTCTGACTGTACTGCTAGCTAAGATGTGTGATCTTGAGCAAAATAAGCTCCCTGGTAGTTTCAAAATACAATTTCAGAGGATAAAAGTTTCAGGAGCTACAGATATAGAGCAGCAACTCAGACAGGCAGACCAGAGGGGAAAAGAAACTGCACAAAATGAGTTCAGCATGTGCATGGTCATCTGTAAAGAAATGAAGGAAAATGAACTCAAAACGTTCAAGTGATCAGGGTAGCTGAAATAAGCAAAACCTTGAACTTTTTTCTCCTAGATCTGGCCAGCTATCAGAGTATAAAAAAATCCAAAACAGTGAAATAGTAGGAGGAAGCAGAAGAGCTTAGTAGGATGCGAAAGAAATATATAAAGATGAAGCCATTTTTGGTTTGTCTATTGTAACATCAAAAAGGTCCAGGGGCAAACAAAACAAGAGACAAAAGGATTTAAAAGGAAAGAAAAATAAACAGAATCTTTTATGAAAAAGATGATGGCAAAATTCTAAGTCACAAGGGATGTGCAGTTATCCAGAATAAAACCCAAAAATATATGTGAATTAATTCAATTACCTAGACATAAGCAGATGCTATAAGCTTTAAGGAGGAAAAAAGGTCACAGCTATTTGGAGAATTTCAGTATAAATAACTACTCAGTCAGGAATATAGTGTGAATTTTGCAGATAATAAATTAGAGACACAGTGTTCTAACACTCTTAGTTGGGATGACAGATTAAGTATCTGAGTGGGAGTGGTTATGTACAGAATATTAACAAAACTTCGGTAAAGGGATATTTGGCAAGCTACCACTCTACAAGGAGGAAAAAGGACTCAGCTGGCATGAAAGCAGCAACAGTATTAAGATGTGCAATCAGAAAAGAGAGTTTCCGAAACAGAATACCACAGAACAATGTCTTCCATGCCCAGAGAACCAAACCTCTACAGTTATATGCTAAATATCTTGCAAAGAGTATAAACTCTCTGAGACAAAATAGAACTCAAAGACAATGTACATTTTCCACAAACTTCCAGGATTCTCCTAAGATTTTTTACAAATATATTTATTTTCATTTCTTTCAAAAGGCAGAAAGACAGAAAGAAACAGATAAAGAGAGTTCTTCCATCCACTGGTTCACTCCTGAATTCCTGCAACAGTATAAAATAATAAGGAACATCTGAAAGGCAGAAAGACAGGGACCGACTGAAAGAGTGAGATGGAGACATGGAATTCAGCACTAGGCTCCCGCTCCAGTGGCAGGGATTCAAGTACGTAAGCTGTCACCTTCTACCTCCTGGGATATGCAGGAAGCTGGACTAGAACCCAGGCGCTTCAATATGGGATGTGGGTATCCCAAGCGGTGTCTTATCCACAGCGCCAAACACCCATCACAGATGTTCATGATTAAAATATTAATCAACATAACATTGTACATTCATCAAAAATATTAAAAATATAAACACAGAATTATTTTTAAGTTATTAATGAATAGTAGAAAATGGCCACATTAATATACAAAATGAAATATAATAATGAATTGTTAAAATTAGAGAAAACTTCAAGAAATATTATAATTAGACTTATGCTATCACATATGGTATTCTCAAACTACATAAAAAGAAAAAAGACCAGCTAATGGGACCACAGAAAGGAAGACAAAGAACAAATGACAACCTGATCCTGGAGTAAAGTTTTATTACAGCAGAAATATTCATCTAAAAATATGAGTATGTAATTTAAAAAGTGAGAAATAGAATATACAATATTTAAATATATGAACTTTATACAGGATTTTCTAAGATTATAATACTCAAAAATATAATATTATAATTCCTAAAATTATATAAACTATAAACATTCACATAAATTATATATAAATTGTAAAGTTAATATTAATATAAAACCATACAACTTATAATTTTATAAATAGAATATATAATATATAAATGTACACATAAATATATTTATATATAACTGTATTTATAAATATATATATAATACAAATATTTAAAGTATAAGGTTAAAATTCCTAAAATTATCATGTATAAAATATAAAATGATAATTCCTAAAAATATAAAAGTATATTGTATGTTGCTTTATTTCTTTTTATAAAAAGAATATACTACATAGATGCATATATGTATATGTGTATATATCTAACTATATACAGATAAATATGCTATTTACCATTAAAATAAATATATACAAATGATAACAGATATCAAAGATGTTTACCAAAGTATTAAAGCACCATGTAAATAAATAAACTAATATTTTATTGTCTTCTTTGAGGTATTTTACTATTTTATGTATATGAAATATAACACGTCTTCCTCTACAATTCACTAAACTCTGAGTGGCTTTAACTATCTCTGTCTTGAAAATTTAGATTCTTCCTCCCTGACTTTTTTGAGTAAACATTTATCAACTTTATAAAAGCAATCCCTTATAATTAAGGACATGAATCATAAAGCCTTAAAAAACTATCAAAGTATGAAATTAGTGGTAAATTACAAAAGTACAGTACCTGTCGGCTAATGTTGGCAGGGGTGAACTGGTTAAGAATAGGTTGCAAGCCTGTTGCATCAGCAGCTGTCCTATAATCCAATCGATACTCCATAAAAATAGTAATTGGAGTGAGTTTGTCTCTAAATTCAGATTCATCCTAGAAACAAAACCTTGAAATTAATGATGACATCAATTACACCATCTGGAGACTAAGTTGCACACCACTAAGTCAGCTCTACCCCTTGATCCTTTAATACAAACCAAAACTCTGGGAAACTATCTATGTAAATCCAAGAAGGACTATCCAAAAATCTCATTATCCATTGAGAACTTCAAATCAATTTTTATTTTATAATATTTTAATCCACACAAACACATACAAGGTATGTTCACAAAATGAGCACACACATACCCAACTTAACAACTGGAACATTGCTAACATTGCTTAAGCTATCCATATGCTGCTTTCTCTTTTCATCCCTCTGCCTTCCTTCTCAGAGGTAATCACCACCCTGAATTTAAAGTCTGCCATTTGTTTACTTGCTTCTCTGTGATGTTTACTTGACTTTTGCTTATACTTTATGGCCTACGCAAAGTCAGTTACATTTTGTAATTATTTAGGTCTAGGTTCTACACAACTCTATTAAATCAAGCTTCTACAATACTATTTATGTCCTTAATATGTTCTTCAGTTTTGCCTTTTCTTTTGCTTATTTAAAAATGGGATCATATGTATTTTTCTATGATTCACTTTCTGTTCAAAAATTTTTTTTTAAGATTTGTCCATGGGGCCAGTAAGGTGGCATAGTGGGTTGGGCCTCCACTGGTAGCACTGGCAGTCCATATGAGGACCAGTTTGTGTCTTGGCTGCTCCATTTCTGATCCAGCTCCCTGCTAACTTATCTGCGAAAGCAGCAGAGGATGGCCAGGATCCTTGGGCGTCTGCATTGATGTGGAGGATCCAGAAGCTCACGGCTTCAGCCTGGCCCAACCCCAGCTGTTGCGGTCATTTGAGGAGTGAAACAGTATATGCAAGACCTCTCTCTGTCTCTGTCTTTCCCTTTCTTTCTTTTTCTCTCTCTCTCTGCCTTTCAAGTAAATAGATCTTTAAAAAACAAAAAAAAAATTTGTCCATGGTGCTCCATGTACCCACAATTTTCATTGTTGAGTAATAATACTCATATTCTTCACATAAGTCTATCACAATTTATCCATTTTCTAAGGTTATTTGTTTTTGTTATCACAAATTTTTACAGTGATTATTCTTACACATACTGACAAGTAGATCTGTCAGCTTTGTAATACCATATTACTTTCTAATATCTTCATAACAATTTATACTTCCACCACACTTGTAAGAGTTCCAATTAACTCATACCTTGGCCAATTAATGAATATTGATAAACTGCTTAAATTAATAATTTTATTTTTTCACAGTCATAGCTTGAAATGTTTGTCTTTTTGTTTCTTAAATTGTGGCTACTTATTTAATTTAAAGCTTTTGCATCACTTCAGGAAGATGGTCATGTTTTTTAGTGTGCTCATGCAGTAAGTTATACTTCTAGATTCTGTTATCCCACCCTAAGATAAATCCAACCTGGTCCATTTATCTTTTTTGTAAACTGCTAGCATTTAGTTTGCTATGTGAGTTTAGTAATTTTACATCTATGTCTTTGTGTAAAACTGGCATTAAATTCTTTCTTCTACCATCCTTGACCAGTGTAGACATCAATTATTAGCTTCACAAAATGACTTTACAATATTTTTTTCAACTCTTGGAAGATTTTGCTTAATATCAGAATGTCTCATTCCTGAATGGTAGATATTGCCTATAAAACCATCTTGGCTTTGGGTTTCCTTTGTGTGGATGATTATTTGGGTTTTCTATTTCTGCTTATTGCAGTTGCATTGCTTTTCTAAGACTTTCTCCCTTTTGTCTAAGTTTCTGACATTTTGGTACAAGATTTCTCATAATCCTGCCCTTCTCCATAATCATGTCTCTTTGCAATTTCTAATTTTGTAGGAGGTTTTGTTCCTTCCTTCATTTATTTTAAATTAAACAGCATTGAAGGGTATATATTTACCTTTACATTCTGCTTCTCAGATATCCACACATTGTATGTAGTGGTTTCATTATGATTCAGTTCTAAGTAAATTTCCATTAGGGTTTCTTTTTTGACCCATACTATTTTTAAGTGTTTAGCTATTTTTATTTATTTGAAAGACAGAGTGCCAGAGAGAGAAAGAAAATTGACCTTCCATCTACTGGTTCACTCCCCAAATGCCAACCAGGGCTGGGCCAGGCTGAAGACAGGAGCAGGAACCCCAGCTGAGTCCCCCACATGGTGGCACGGAGCCACTGGCAATCATGGGCCCCACAGAGGAATGCTCTGCCACAGAGAAGCTTTGCATTTGCTCTGGTGGGAGTCAGTCTGCAGGTCTGCCTTGAGAACACTTCAGTTTCACGGAAGTACGCCCCAGGAATCTGACTCGCCATGCCGGTGTGCTGGTGTCTGCAACAACTTCTGCTCACCCTCTGTCCAGCTCAGCTTCCCTCCCTGGACAGAAAGCTTGGCACATACAACTTAACAATTCACATTTGGTCACTGGGGTTTACTAGTTCATTGCATTTTTTTTTTTTTTTTTGGACTCTTGAGATTTCTTTAATTGTCTTGAGAGTCCAGCAGTATTTTAAAGACAGGTTTCTGACAGTTCAGGTTTTCTTACAGTTCTAATAGCTAGTAGTGCCATGATACATTATTTCTACTGCCAGGTTTCATGACCAAAAAAGCCAAATTTCCTCAAATGTATTTTTCTATATTTTCTATTTTTGTATAATATCAATTTATAGAAAGTGAAAATCACTTAGATAAAAAAGAATAAATAATGACTGACAAGAAGCATTATCTCTTACCCGTAGATAAGCTATCAGTTCCTCACATTGCATCTGTCCCCCCCTGAAAATAGTCATGTTCTTGGAGTGACCTGGGGACCTGTTATGGAGAAATAGTGCTCGGCGAATTGCTCCCTTTTGCTTGAGTTTATCCAAAAGAAGCTCCACCTGGAAGTCTATACAAATCAAAGGATTTATAACAACCATATTCATATGGACACTCAGCTGTCCTAGTTTTCACATAAACAGGGATATTTATTCCTTAGAAGCAATTTGATTCTAAGTCATGAAAAATATCTGCATATTTTTTGTACAGAGTAATTGTAAATAAATATTTAATGGTAATAATTAATCCAACTTTCCCCAAGGTAGTCTCATACATAATCCTATATAATGATGGTAATAAAAGAGCTATCAGACAGAAGGGAACTGTTATCTTTTTATTTCAACTGAGGGAAGTCTAGAGAGTGAAACATACAGCATTAAGACTTCTGCCACTGATCCAACAGCAAGAGTGTTGCTGACCATGTTTCAGAGTATTCACTAACAGGCGCCCCTATCATTGTGTTAAGCACCATGATAAAGCAAGTTGCATCATTTGCAACTCCTGTTTCCAATGAAGCAATATATCAACCCAAGAGATAAATATAAATGTGTTCCTCCTGAAGCCAATGACCAGATGCAGTTTCATGAGCTGTCAAAATCATCTAAAAATGAATGCAAAGCCAATAGTTTGAAGCACAGTTGTTAGGATTCAGTTGTTAAGCTAGTTTCTTGATTCAGTTTTTGAGCTAGTTTCCTTAAAAGGAGATAAAAGTCCCTGTCCACGTTTCCAAGTTTCTGTAAACACTGACCTTCATTTTAGACACAGGTGAAAGTGCAGGGTTCTTTTGTGTTATATCCTGTTCCACCCTGTCCCATTGCCCTCCTTGCAGATTCCCAAACTCATTGAGCACAATCCTGCCTCAGGCCTCTTGAAATTGCCATTTGCTCTGCACAAAATATTCCTTCCAACATCCTGTAGTTTCCTAATTTCCTTCAGGTAGCCACCAAAAGGTTATCTTCCAGTGAGACCCTGCTTGGCTCCTTGGGGCTCTTCTCTACATTTTCATGTACAATCACATGGCCAACATTCCAGACCTCTGTTCTACTGTCTTATTATCCCTTAGCTCTTGTCACTAGCAAGCATGTCAAATCTTGGCAATAACTATTCAACACTCTCAGGATGCATAAACCATTTAATAAAGGAAGAGCTGAAGAGCAGAGTTTGTTGTGAGGATTAAAATTCAGCTAAATTTAGTGACCAAATCTTTTCTTCTTTTTCTTGCTATTTCTAAATGTCTCTGCTCCTTAAATTGCTAGGAGCTTCTATAAAATATAAATGATAAACATCTCAGTAGATCATCTATGTGCATTGATATTCATTTTACCCAGAATTCATCCTCATATTGGTAACTGCTTAACTATCTAAAAGCCATAGTTTACCATTCTGTGAACGGTTATGCTCACAATGTCAATAAATAAGTGTATTATTTCTGAATTGGCTTAAGAATTGCCCAATAATGAAAGTAATTATGTTGCAATCTTAAATGTCTGTAAGCATAAACATTCAAACAAAATACAATATCTTAAGTAGCTTTCAAACATCCTAAAACATTTTTAAGTACTACATACACAGCATCATTAAAATCATATGAATTTTAAAAAGACACTTACTAAGTTTCCTGGGAAGTGCTCCTTTGCCATCTGCTTTTAAGCAGAATTTGACATTAAAACTGCAGGAGGAAAAAAAAATCTGATATAAATTCTATAATACAATTTAGATGTACTTTTCAATATCATCCAAATGTAATAGAAATACGTGTATGTGTAATTCAGTAAAACCTCTCTATCCATGTGGCATTAGTTCAGGACCCCCTGGGGAAGCTAAAATCTGCAGATCCTCAAGCGGTATTTGCATATAACCTACACACAGCCTCCAAGACATTTTAAATCATCTCTAGATTACTTTTAATACCTAATATAAGAAAACAAGTTGTTATACTGTATTGTCTAGGAAATAAGGAGAAGGAAAAAAGGTCTGCACATATTCAGTACAGAACCCACTTTTTCTCCTCAAATATTTTCAAACCAAAGTTGGTTGAACCTACAGAGAGGGAATCCGTGGATACAGAAGGCCGACTATACACAAATCTTGTATCATGAGGCTCTTTCTTAATATCTGAGTTTTACTCTTAAAACATAAAACTACACAGACTAATATAGCTCATCTATCAGTAATTCCATCATGTTTGCTTTCATGGTACTTTGAAGAAAAAAAGAGGAAGGGGAAAAAATTTTCTAACCTCCTCTCAAGTTTATAGGTGTTGCTAAATCAAAATGAAAAAAAAGTTCAGAAACAAAATAATGTCTCTTCTAATAAGATGACCCACTGAAGCTTCCTTTAGGCAGAATTTTCCACAATTTATTCATGAGTTATGAAATCAGGCTAATGGGTTGTATCCAGCATCTTAATAAAAAATTAAATTGACTTAAGTACTAAGGGAAAATATGATTTTGTAAAATTTTGGTTTTAACTGTGCATATGTGCTCACCAAATTAAGATGCCAAGTGTATTTTTTATTATGTGACATGCTCAAAATTATATTGAAAGCCACTGCTGTAGTCATTAGAAGCCTTCAAATTATTAGCTTAATTATAAGCATATTATTGGCAATTTTACAGAGTGAGAAAAGGCAATAAAACTTGAAGCCAAAACCATGAAAAACAACTTCATTGTCAGTCAATAAAAAGGAACAGCAAATATCAGTGAATTTTTATATAATCCAATAAAAAATTTAATTTGAAAATTTTAATAACTTAAAAACAAAATGAGGCAAATCCTCTGAAGCAAATTTTTCCTAGGTATCAGACTATAAGTTCATTGTGATTTTTCTGTATAAGTAAGAAACATTAAGCGTTTCCCAAAACAGGGGCTACTCATGATGATATTCATGGTTTATGGGTCAAGACTTTTTGTAAGTTTTTAAAAAATATTTACCTATTTATTTTCATCTACTCGAAGGTAGAGTGACAGAGAAAGAGAGAGACAGACAGGGACAGATCTCCCATCTGTTGGTTCACTCCTCAAATAACCAAAACAGCTAGGGCTGGGCCAGGCAGAAGCCAGGAGCTTGGATCTCCATCCAGGACTCCCATATGGGTGGCAGGAAACCAGATTTTTGGGCTACCTTCCGCTGCTTCCCAGGACGCATTATCAGGAACTGGAATCAGGGCAGCTGGGACAAAGGACATGCGTGTCCCAAGCAGCAGCTTGACTCACTACCTCATAATGCCCGTGCCCAGTTTTTATATTCATTTTCATGTATGAAAAAGATATTGATTTCTCCACTTTATCTTTATTTTCTTAAAAAACATGAATCAATTAAAAGAGAATCTTAAGAAAATTATAGAAGAAAAATATAGCAAAAATTATAAAAGTAACATACATGACAGAGACATAAGAAATAATGGACTAGAGAATTCAAACACTGGACTTATGAAAAATCATATTTTTCTATGGAAACTAGTAAAGATATACGTAAAAGACAGTAATCCAGAGCAAAATAATTTTTCACATATATTAAATCTGGAAAGTAACATATCCTTTAAAACACTTTACATGTTCATAAACTTGCTTAAAATTAAATAGAAATAAGTTCTTAAATCTTATTAGCTTTTCCTTCTTTATGAATCTATTTATTAACCATACATAAATCTTTAAAATTTCATTTTATTCTAATTTATAGAGCCTTCTGGATATCTTCCAGGATTTCTGGAGTTTTCTAGATATCTTCTTTCTAGGAGTATTTCTATAACTAAAAATACAGTATACCTATAGAACCTGCTTAACAATGTTTAATCCTGATTACCTTCATTTTCAGTTAGAGTGATTGAATCAATAATTACAATCATAACTGTTAGTAAACAATACTCTTACCAGGAAACTTTGAGAGCTGTTCCAGGCAGCGAGCAGGTCTTATTGTCTTGATTTAAAATACTAGGGAACACTTCAAGTCCAGCATTTACTGTGATAACTGGTCTGGCCCTGAAAAAATGAGAGACAATTATTTACAGCCACACTGATCTAATCACTTAGGTTCCCATTCACCACCTGGCAGTGCAATGTCTACTAAGCACTGTTTATAACAGCAAAAAGCCTAGGAACAACCCAAATGCAGGATCAAATGTCTCTGTGAGCCCAGGCCTGAAAGCTCCACATCCTGGAAAATTCTCAGTTCCAGGTAAAGTGGGACAACTGGCACTGTATCTGAACTCGGTCCATTAAAGTATGGTTATGGGATATCTACCTAATTCAATGGAACACAGTGGAAAAATGAGTGCCATAAGCACATCTGTGCTAATAGAAGGTGATCCCTGAAATATATCCTAGACCACTGTTAGTAGGAGAGGAAAATATCTAACAAAGAATGCTTACACACACAAACACACATGAAAACACATGATTTTTCAATGCATAGATTTTTGGTAATCTTAATAAGCTTGTAACTGTTTTAAGGAAAAATATATTTTAAATTATATTTATTTGTATTGTTTGAATATTTTTACATGCATGTGTTAATTCATTAACAGCAATTTTAAAAACTAAAACAATCAATTAAAAGCAAGCACCCCTAATCTGAAATCCAAAATTCTGAGCGCTGATATTTCAAATTTCCATTTCCGGATTATTGACACTCAAGTGGCAAAATCTGCAAATTTTCTAAAATCCAACAATCTCCAAAACTTGAAACACTTTTGGTACCAACCATTTTAGATAACAGATATTCAATCTGTAAGTATAGGTTTTCAAAGTTCAAATGCGGCCAGTGCCTCGGCTCAATAGGCTAATCCTCCACCTAGCAGCGCCGGCACACCAGGTTCTAGTCCCGGTCGGGGCGCTGGATTCTTTCCCGGGTGCCCCTCTTCCAGGCCAGCTCTCTGCTGTAGCCAGGGAGTGCAGTGGAGGATGGCCCAGGTGCTTGGGCCCTGCACCCCATGGGAGACCAGGAGAAGCACCTGGCTCCTGCCTTCGGATCAGTGCGGTGCGCCGGCTGCAGCGCGCCAGCCGCGGCGGCCATTGGAGGGTGAACCAATGGCAAGGGAAGACCTTTCTCTCTGTCTCTCTCTCTCACTATCCACTCTGCCTGTCAAAAAAAAAAAAAAAAAAAAGTTCAAATTCACTGGTTTGAATCCTGTACAAAAAATACAGTATGCACATGTTACTCAGCCTGTCTCAAAAATGATAAATCAGGGGCTGGTGCTGTGGCATAGAAGGTTAAGCCTCAGCCTGCAGTGCCAGCATCCCATATGGGCACCAGTTCAAGACCCGGCTGCTCCACTTCTGATCCAGCTCCCTCCTAATGCACCTGGGAAAGTAGCAGAGTATGGCCCAAGTCATTGGGTCCCTACAACCCACATGGGAGACCTGGAAGAAGCTCGTGACTGCTAGTTTTGGCCTGGCCCAGCCCCAGCCACTACAGCTATTTGGGAAATGAACCAGCAGATGGAATATGCTCTCTCTCCTTCTACCTCTGCCTTTCAAATAAATAATTAAATCTTGGGGTCTTCCTCTCTTGGAACTCCCCTCTTTGCCGCTCTGGCAGGAGGTTTATAACCTAAAAAACTCCCACTTTACTCTCACTGCTGTGTCCATGTGTGATAATTCTTTTGCACGAGACAAAGAACCAAGGCCTTCTCTTCACTGCGGTGTCCCCGTAACATTTTTGGTGCCGTGACTCGGATTGCAACTCCAGCGTGATGCGGATCCAACTTCGGATCATCCAGCCGGACTGGTGAGCATGCACACTGCTGTTGCTTTTTTTCAGAGAGCCTTGCTCTCCTTCACAGTAACTCACATTTTCCCTAAAACACCAGGTCCCTGTCAGCCAGTTAAAAGCGATTAGCGCGGCTGCCAGTCTTAAGGCACAGGGGTGAGGCTTGCTGACCTAGGCCATATCAATTCCCTGGAGCTGGGACTCTGTCCTAACAGCTCCCCTCCCTCTTGCATGGATCAGCCCTTCGCATGGGCCTGGAAGAAGGCCTGATACAACTGATGGATTCTGGCTGGGGCTACACTCCAGCGTTTTCAGAAGGTCTCGGGCTCCGACTGCCAGAATGGTGTTGGGCTGAGAACCGCAGTTTCCAGTGGGGAGCCAGCCCCCAGCCTTTTTGGAGTTCTCGCGAGCTGTAAAGCCAGAGGCTCCATTCTTCTTTGCTTCTTGTCTCAGCTCTGAGAACGTTGGCTGGCCCAATTCAGCTTCCTTTTTTGGTGATTGGCCCAACAGCCAGGACTGGGAGAAAGGTTTGGAGTAACCTTAAAATTCAGGCGAGGGCCACACTCTAGTGTTTTTCAAGGACTCCCTGACTGGACACCAGATCCCAATGGCCCAATAGGATGTCAGCCGAAAACTCCATTCTGTTCTTCCTTCCTGGAGATTAATCTGTTGGTGAGACTGGGCACACCCTGGAGTGAGGCCAGGGGCTCTGAGCTCCATGCCTCAGTGAATTTTTCCTTTATCCCAGATCTCAGCAGATCTCTCTCTCTCTCTGTCTCTCTGTCTCTCTGTCTCTCTCTCTCTCTCTCTCTCTGCTTCTCTAAATGCTTTCTAGACCTCGTCAAGTCTCCAGAGTTTCTACAAACTCAATTTCCTGGTCTCATTAATGGCTATTTCCTAGATAATTTGTTCCTTGGTTCTAGGTTAAAGTCTAACCATCTCGTTTGCAGACAGGCAGTCTCTCGAGCTAGACTCTCATTAGCTGCAGTCCCCATGTGGCACAGATAACTCTCAGCAGGTCTCTGGTATCCCCTACCTTCCTTCTCCAGTCTGCTCTTTTGGGTCCCCACTGTCAGCTACCACAGAGTTTTACTGGGGAGAATTATATTCCCCCACTTTGCTTCTTTGTGACTTCGCCTGTGTAGTCACCAATGTAGGTGGTAGGCAGGGCTGGCACGCTAGCTTATAAACACCTCTGCTAAGGCTCTTACCATGAAAGCTCATTGTCGAAATCAGGCCTATTAGACAAGACTCAAGGAAAGGTGTAGAACAAATATTTTTGGGGGAGTGAACCAATGGAAGGAAGACCTTTCTCTCTGTCTCTCTCTCTCACTGTCTAACTCTGCCTGTCAAATCAAAAACAAACAAACAAAGAACAACTATTTTTCCTTATGTATAAGAACAAAGCGACAATATATATTTGACCAGGCAGAGGCCTAGTTTAGCACACCACCAGTAAGGGAACTGATCACTCCCTGCGTGTGCTATTCTGACAAGTATATACCCTAGGCTACAGGTGTGGAAGGCTGAGCAAGAGTAGGTGATACGTGCTAACCCTCCCCTCACCTTCCTCCCTTCCCTGTGGGCTTCAGTGCACATCTGAACGCCACGGGCAGCAAGACCGCTTTGAGAGATGTCTCAAACTCAGGAGATGTAAGACCTGAAGTACGCTTCTGTCTTTATGCTCTCATTCCAGCCAGGAGGCAAACCATCTACTTTTATTTCTTTGGACCCTGAGCTTACAGAAAAATGCCTCATTTTCCGCACCACTACCTGGCCTGTTTACAGAGGATGGAGAGTTAGCTTAAGTGAGTTATAAAAAGTGCCAGCCCCCGTACTCTGACTCCCTGTCTCAGAACTCTGTCTCCTAACAGACCTCTTGCCTCTATCACCCTGCATGTGCTCCGATACGCATTAAATTCTTTTCCAGAGTGTCACAGAGTCCTTGGGTCTATTCAGTGAGCTATCAGGCTTCTTCTGTTATTGCTTGTGACTGCTGAGGTTTTAATCCCAGTGTAGGAGTCTTTTTGTTGTTGTTGTTAAATCAGGTGACAATTGCCCCCACAGTTTTAATTTTGTCTGGGGCTTTCTAGGCAAGAATCTAGGCCCAATAACTTCAGATGTCATTGAATGCATGTGGATTAATCCACATGATGTCTTCTTGAGACACCTCCCGACCTGACTCCTCATCCCTGAGGCTGGTTTGACTGACAACCTCACTATTAGACATGTCCAGTATTGGCTTTTGGTTTTAGAGTATAAGGTTACTGTCTTTTTGCAGAGCCTCCAGTTTTTCTCTATCCTGCCCCTTTGCGGGCTCTTACAGGAGCCTCCTTGTAGTAACTGACCTCTTCTACCACCATCAGATGCTCCTTAGGAATCTCTGGATGCCCCTTCCCATTAAAACCTAACAATGGTGCGCCATCTCCAGTGCACTTCTTATCCCTGGCACATCAGTCTCTAGCGTACAGTCACTTTTGAGACCCATCGCGCGGCTGCTGAACCTTTTGCTTCAGAGGCAGTCCCAAGTAGCTGGCTGTTGACTAGGCATCGATGGCTTAAGGTATTTTTTTTCTTTGAGTAAAAGGAAAACTAGACTCAGATTCAGTTAGAGTCTAAAATGATGTCTTTGGTAAACAGAATTTCATTCAACTATAACTGAACGTCGGGTCTAAAGAAATTTCTCTCTTTTGAATCTAGGAAGTTCACTGCCTTTAAAAATGTTGCTTTGTAACTTGCCAAACTCGTTTTTACAACTTGGTTTAACAGGTTTCTGATAGCAATGGTAATCAATGCATCTTATAGCCCCCCTAAGGTGCATTTTGCAATTTTGCTTTAATGTCACTGGTTTATACCTATGATATAAATGTAACTTCAACCTTAATTCAGACAGAGGTATGATATAATATCAGCATCTTCAGTCACATAGGTATAATTACTAAATGTAAACTTAGGTACTCTTAGAACACGCTTTGTCCATATGAAAATACTTCAACACCACTTGGAGGTAACTAAGCTTAAAATTCGATGTGTTATCTTATTTAGAAAATGTGGTCTTAATTTGGGGACTTATAAAGGGTTATTTCAAAATGTAAATCAAGGAAATGAGCAGATGGAAAAGGTCAGAAGTATAAAAATGTGTTCTTGGTAAGGAAGGTTAAGAAGAAAAGAGTTTTTTTGAATAAAGAAAGGAAATGGTTTGTAAGAAGTACCTTATCCTGATGGCTGGTTACTCTAGACTGGAATGGAAATCAGAGTTTCAAGTAAGTTGAAGAAGGTGTGTGGAAGTCACAGAAGGTTATGAAAGAAAGAAATTTTTGGATATAAAAGCTATTAATCTATTTTTCTTTGACATAGAACTAGAATCTGGTCTTCTGTTAAAGCAATGAGGTTTTTGCAATGCATATAAAAAAAAAACTACAGCATCTCCCTTTAATAGTTTTCTTTAATTGGTGACTCTGTCAGTTTTCTAACTAGCTCCAGTAAGCTATTTTCTCTTCCCTAGTTTCTGACTCTGTTAAAATTGTTCCAAGTTATTGGATAATTCCATGTGCTAGATAATTTAAGTTTCATTTATGATCCTTGGGATGACCAAAGACAGATTTTGTGTCCTGTTAAAGTTATCTATTAGGTTCTCTTAATGTCTCTGTTAAGTTCTAATTGTTTATTAACTGAAAAGTGATCGCTGTTAAATATAAGAGTGGGAATAAGAGAGGGAACAGACGTACAATTTGGGACATGCTCAAGCTGACTTGCCCCAAACGGTAGAGTTAGAAACATACCAGGGGATTCCAATTCAATCCCATCAAGGTGGCATGTACCAATGCCATCTCACTACTCCAACTGATCAATCTCTGTTCACAATTGATCATAATGATAGGACTAAGAACCAAAGGGATCACATAAACAAGACTAGTGTCTGCAAATACTAACCGATAGAATAAAAAAGAGAGAGAACAATCCAACATGGGAAGCGAGATACACAGCAGACTCATAGAATGGCAGATGTCCTAAACAGCACTCTGGCCTCAGAATCAGCCCTTAAGGCATGCGGATCCAGCTGAAAAGCCCATGAGAGTATTTCAGGCATGGAAAGCCAAGACACTCTGGGGGGGAAAAAAAAAAAAAGACCTAAATGAAAGATCTCTGCAAGTGAGATCCCAGTGGAAAGAACAGGTCATCAAAGAAGGAGGTACCTTTCTCTGAAGGGAGGAGAGAACTTCCACTTTGACTATTTGACTACGACCTTGTCTAAATATGATCAGAGTTGGTGAACTCAAAAGGCTTCCATAGCCTTGGCAACTCATGACAAGAACCTGGGGTGATTACTGATGCCATAAACAAGAGTGTCAATTTGTTAAGTCAACAACAGGAGTCACTGTGCACTTACTACTCGTGTATGATCTCTGTCCTTAATGTGCTGTACATTGTGATTTAATGCTATAACTAGTACTCAAACAGTATTTTTCACTTTGTGTTTCTATGTGTGTGGGTGCAAACTGTTGAAACCTTTACTTAATATATGCTAAACTGATCTTCTGTATATAAAGAGAAACGAAAATGAATCTTGATGTGAATGGAAGGGGAGAGGGAGCGGGAAAGGGGAGGGTTGCAGGTGGGAAGGAAATTATGTGTGGGGGAAGCCATTGTAATCCATAAGCTGTATTTTGGAAATTTATATTCATTAAATAAAAGTTTAAAAAAAAGTTCTAATTGTTTAAAAGCAGCTGAGTTTTTTTATTAAGAGCTATGGATTGTTTAAATATGTGCTCATTTTAAAGCATCTGAGTAATCATTTTGTATCAATGATCAAATTTGGCCCCATGATGTAGAGGGATCCTATTTCAACCAGATATTTTGAGCTTTAACTAATATGGCTATTTGGATTATATTAAAGGTACTGTCAAGATGTGAAGCATTACCAAATTTTGTTATGATAATGTAAAATGCTACTGATACAAATGTCAAAAAGTTAAAAAGTCTAAATGAAGTAGGCAGGCATACAGACTAAAATTGATTAGGTTTGTGAGCTGGAAGACCACACCTTCACCATGCCCCTGTGAGACCTCTTCCCCCTACCTGGCCACACCTGGGTGCCCACCAGCCAATCAGGTTAATTAACCACTCCCCTTTGGAAGTGGGTTAAAAGCTGGGATGCGCGGGTGTGTCCATCCCTTCTCTTCTTCCTTTGCCTCTTGCCAGGAGGGGGCTCACTGTAGCCCTGCGCCTCCAGGGTGCGTGGCCTTTGGGCCACGTGCTCCAGGCTTCCTGGCCCAGATGCTCCTCTACGTGGCTGGTTCCTGGTGCTTGGTATGAACCCAGATTTACCTCTCTCTCTTACTAAAGCCCTCACTTTCCTATGCACCTTTCTCACTAAATAAAAGCCTAAAACATACCATGCTGCCTCATTTATCTGTGCCGGTATTTAGAATTCTTCTGCAAATATTAGGCAAGAACCCTCTAGGGCTTATTAATATTGGGGGTTTATTAATAAACACATGGTGAAATAGTATGGCACCCCAAATTCTGGTAGCATATGTGGCACCCCAGATAGCACTACTGGGGAATTTTAAGGGGCCACATTTTTGTATAAATTTTAGGGGGTCATGTCTGATTTCAATAGGGGAATAGTTTTGAATACAATTTAAAGGACAAGGATGAAAAATTGTGAATTCCTTTCAAAAGAAAACATCTGGGGCCAGCTATGGCATAGCAGGTAAAGCTGCTGCCTGCAACACCGGCATCCCATATAGGCGCCAGTTGGACTCCTCCACTTCCAGTCCAGCTCCCTGCTAATGTGCCTGGGAAAGCAGCGGAAAATGTCCCAGCTGCTTGGATACTTGCATCCACATGGGAAACCCAAAAGAAGTTCCTGGCTCCTTGCTTGGGTTCAGCCCAGATCCAGACATCTGTGGAGGGAATTTGGGGATGGAAAACCTCAATCTCTCTCTAACTCTGCCTTTCAAATAAAAAATAAAACTTTAAAAAACTAAAACTAAAAAATAAAACATCTATAGTTTTTTCTTGAGACTTTTCTGTGTAAATATTATTTACTTGCAGCAATTGCTGGACAGAAAGAACACATTTCATTATTCAAGAAATTGAGCTGAAATTCAAATAGTGACATTTAGCTTAAAAACTTTCAAATAATTCAGAGTAATCCTATAATACACAATACCGGATATACTCACCTGTATAAAACAGCTCGATCTACACCAAAAGCTCCTACGATTAAGTCTGAAGAGAGAGTGAAAACACATGTTAATAATGGTTTTTAAATTTCTACACCATGCTATAAAACTTTCAATGCACACAAAAGAATTTAAGCAGATTCTCAGTCAAGAGATTGTAAGGCAGCAACAACAAAAACAACATCTTCTACAACATTTTCTTCTAACGTCTCATTACAGACTTCAAGACAGTGAACAAAAGCTCCGCACATGTGCTTCACGTTGTACACTCGCAGGAAACAGAGCTGCCTTTCCTTCACATCACCTTCAGTGATTTGAACAATGCTTTGAGCATGGTTGAGGTTTCATAATACTTGAAATATTGAATTGAAATGGCTTATAAAACAAATCAGGAGAATAATAACATTATTTACTTTAGGAATGAAAACTCTCAGAGCTGTAAGTATTCGTAGAAAATCACCTGGATATCCATTTTTGTCTATATCTGTGGCTCCTTTCATTGAATAGCCAAAGCTTGGTGGCATACTCCGAGCAGCCCACTGGCCTTCAAGGACTTGAGACGGTACTGCATTCAAGCCTGCTGCCCTTCCATTGAAGATATACACAACTCCTTTCTTATCTTCACCCCCATAGGGAGCAGCAATTGCAATATCTATGGGGTGAAAGGAAGAGGAGGAAGAGAAGAAGCAGCATGGAAAGGAGAGGATGAGAAGGGAGGAGGAGGGGGGAAGAAGGCAAGAGTGGTGACACTGAAGTCTCAGTACTCAGTCATTTATATGGGGATCGGAATATTCACAGAACCTTTTCTCTTGATCAGTATTGGTTCAAAGTTCAGTAATTCAAAAAGCAACAATATAATTCAAGGAAGTTCAAGCAAAACTGTAGAAATGACAATAACTTAGAGCCATATATTCTGGGTCTGACCTTATATACATCATTTACTTCTGAACCTTAAGTGCCCCATACTTAAACTTGGGGGTGTGGAAGGTAGGAGGAGAACATGTCAAAAGATTCATCTAAAGTTCATTCTAGGTAGCAAAATTCTATTTTGTTGATTCATGCATCACTTTAATTTTTTCTGAACAGAAATCCATTTGGATCACAAATTTGAAAGGACTTCATTTTCATCTTGTTCAACTCAAACAAATAAAATTATAAATTCTTAAAATAAACAAAACACCAATGGTCAATAGGACCTTTTTTGACTCTAAAATATACTATAAATAGGTCCACTTTTCTCTGCTGCTGTGGCCACCCTGTGTCTATAACTGTGAAGTGACCTTCTAAGTGACCTCTCACTTCAAGGCTTGCCTCTATGACTCATTCTCTTCAAACTATGCACTCTTCCCAACACCACTGGCCTTTTTCATTGTTGTTTCCTCATGCTCAAATCCTACATCAGACATCATCCTGCCAGTGTCCCCTGGTCCCTGCCCCTCTCCCCCTCCACTCTGTCATACACTCTATATAGCTGCTCTCCATCATGTTACCTTGCCTTAAAAAACCTGCAGTCTTTATCATTATCTGGGTTTCCACATTACTTGATTACTTATTCTGTGGTTCTGTATCTTTGAAGTTTACTTAATGTGTAGCTTTTCTTTTAGTAAGAATCCTGATATATTGTTGATTACACAAACAAACCAACAGTGCATCTCTCTACTACATGATCTATAGAAAGGTTTTAGTATTATCTTTTAGAAAGTATTTTGGTACTTTGTAATTTGTATTTCACATTTCCAAAGTTCTATACTGAAAGCTAACTTTGCTTTTTAAAGATGTCTACAGCTATTGAAATAAGACGATCATCAAATAGTGGGCTTATATGTTTGTGTGTCCCCATGAAGGGAAACAGAAACTCACTTAGAACATTTTGGACAGTCACAACAAAGTTATGACTTTCAAAATAGTATTGCTAAAGCATACCTTTGAGGTACGCATAAGATATACATTAGTCAGCATTGCCTTGCAATGTGCCTTGGGAGCATTTTTTTATATTTGTAGCCAAATGAACAGTAGAGGGCACTGTTGCTCAGCAGGACACAGAGACACAGAAAGTCACCAGCACTGGGCTCTGTGAGAATGAAAAAACTGCCTTTCAGAAATCATCCGTTCTGAATCTCTCTTGAGAATCAATTTTTGAAAATTTTGCTCTGATTTTTAAGGAAAAAAAAATGCAACCTATCTATAAACTTGGTGTACTGCTCACTGACATTCAATCCATCTTCCAGAAGAGATTTGCTCATGCGAATTTCAACAGATGGGGTTATGGACTTTCCCAGATGGGCTCAGAAATCAAGGACTTAACTTCTTTTGCTTAACTTCTATCTTACCATTGAAGCCGTCCTGGTCCAAATCTCCCAGTGGAGCTATGGCACTGCCAAACCGTGCAAAGATCTCAAACCCATTCAGCTTCGTAACCTGGAAGTCTCCGGAGGCTCTCTGCAGACACACGGAGACCTGTCCCACCTCTTGGAGTTTGCCATCGGAGCCTCGATCCATGAAGAGAGGTGCTCCAATAAACACGTCTGCATAACTGAGAGACAGAACTCCTCACCAAAGCAAGATCAAATTCCATCTGTTATTAATACACATTTTCTTTCTTATTAAAACTCAGTTTCCCCTTTTCCACATCTCTCACAGGTACATGGAAGCACAAAACGATGACCATAGTAGCCATTTCAAATTCAAAGCTTCTTTTAACTCTTTTAAGAAATTATGAAACCATAAAATTTTCATGCTATAAAAACTATTAAAAAAATATGACCAACAGAGGTTTTCCATGTTTGTGTCAGGTTGCTTCAAATTGCTTCCTTAAATAGATTAGCAGAAAGGGAACAGAGAAACAAAAGCAAAACTGCTTAGTTTTAGTAAATAATTCACAAACATGAGAGCAAAACTGTTTCTGGAAAAATTTTTTAAAACTTACTCATCTCCATTAATGTCAGTGGCAGCTACAGAAAATCCAAAATATGCAGCCATCTGGATAACAAGATGAAAATGAAATGTTTATATTTCATCCAAATACTTTAGGCAATTAACAATTACAATATATCTAGCAAATAGAAATGGTTATTTTTTTCTATATACAGTGCTTCAATTTAAAAGTCTTCTCTTTTGTTTATTCTAGCAACACCACAACAATCAGGTAATGAGGCTTGCTAATTTGCAAGTAAAATACATTCTAGGTATAACATTTCAATGTTTAAATTCCATTTACTTGTATTCCAAGTATAATCAACTCTCCTTCCTATGCCTAACAATCGCTCCCTTTCTCCCCATTCCCTGACAAAAGGCACACACAGGCATACTAACAGAAAGACACAGTCACAAACATTTTAATTGGACCCAAGAAGTTATAAGTGGATGCCTATTCAGAAAGGACAATAGTTAATAATTATTGATAACAGAAAATAACTGGCTCTCCCTTTGTGAAACAACTATTCTTTAGAAGTTATTGTTTGGAAAGACACAAACAGGAGTTCATTCTTGTCTCACATCTCAATCAATTATTTGCCAGATGGCTTTGTTTCTTAATTACACACACACTACAAATATGTTTGGATTTATTATGAAGTTATTATGCACAGGGAGAAGAAATTTCCTCTCCTCCACCACAGGAGACCACTGGCTACCACAGACAGCTGGGGGCAGGAGTGGGGGTGGGAATGGGAGAAAAGGAAGTTCTAAAGAGAGCCCAACAGGCAAAACAAAGCTAGAAGAGATGACAGACTAAAGATAAACTAAGGTGAGTCAACAAATGAGTGAATGAGTCAGCAAAGCAAAGAAGGAAAGTTACGGATGCTTCTTTTTTTTTTTTTAAGCTTTAATTCAATGAATGCAAATTTCATAGGTACAACTTTAGGAATAGGGATGCTTCTGAATCTTGATTAGTTGAATATATATTCAGAGGGGATGATAAGGGAGATTCCTACCTTATCTATTTTGGCTTGATACAGTGTAGTTGAGAAAACAAAACACACATTCGCTATTCAATGATAAGATCAGAATTTGTGTACTGAAGTGTACTATGTTTGGGGTACCATGTTGATGTGCTGACTACAATATGCCAAAATAATATTCTTGAACCTTATTCTGTCAGAGTGTTTGTCCTGAAAGGGTAAAGAAAGTATGGCATTTACTGAGAACAACTTCTGTCCTGAGCACCATGATGGATCCTCACGGCTACCCCATGAGAACGTTAGCAGCATCCCTATGTTTACCAATGAGGAATCAGAATCATAGTGGCAAACACTTTGTCCAAAGCAATAATAAACAGCACAGAGCCCAGGTCTGTCCTCATCTAAGCCTTGCACTTCCCCAACGATAGCTGAAGATGAAAATAAGGAAACTTCAAAGAGTTTATGAAAAACAATGAGTTAAAAAGTAAGTTCATTTTGGTTCAAAACATAATGGGAACCCATGCACAGCTTTTTCACAATAGGTGTTTTTCAGCAATGTTTTGGAAACAGCTCACAAAGCAAGCATCACCGCCCACTTGCAACAGGATCCAGACACAACCATGGACACTGGATAGAAATGAAACAGCACAAAAGGATAACCATGCCTCCAGCAATCCCAATTGCCTGTGGATTATGCATTACTTCATGTGGAGCAACAATCCTGAAGCTGGTCCCCATACTATGGATCCTCTCAAAGCCCAACAATCTCTACTGACAAGAAATGGGCTTGAATACCAAATCTGCAAACCGTGAGGTATTTTTCCTACACTGACTGTTTAATTTTCCTTTGTGATTATCATTATTTAATTCTCTGAGACATGCAAGGAGTCTTCAAAAAGCTATGGAAAAATATGTATTGTGATAAAACTATGCATGCATTTCTAAATTATTTTGTACCAAAATAAATTTATCCTTTAATTTCAGTTTTCCACAAACTTTTTGAAGTACTCTTATACATTACAGATTAAAAAATACCTGTGTTGAACATGATATATAGTACTTAAAAGTACTACTCTTTAACTCTAAAATGTCTTACTTCACATAATACCAGCAAAGTTTATTTATAATATATATGCAAGTACTTTAAAAACTGTGAAAAATGAAATTAAAGGATAACATGCATTGTTCCATGAACTTTTTGAAGACCCTCCTATACATAATACACACATATGATACAATGGTTATTTTCCAAATCCTCCATCTTGTTGCAAATGACAGGGTTTCGTTGTTTTTGACTGCTGTATAGTATTCTATAGAGCACATGTCCCATAATTTCTTTATCCAGTCTACGTTGATGGGCATTTGGGTTGGTTCCAGGTCTTAGCTATTGCGAATTGAGCTGCAATAAACATTTATGTGCAGACAGCTTGTTTGTTTGCCAATTTCGTTTCCTTTGGGTAAATTCCAAGGAGTGGGATGGCTGGGTTGTATGGTAGGGTTATCTTCAGGTTTCTGAGGAATCTCCAGACTGACTTCCATAGTGGCTTAACCAATTTGCATTCCCACCAACAGTGGGTTAGTGTCCCTTTTTCCCCACATCCTCGCCAGCATCTATTGTTGGTAGATTTCTGAATGTGAGCCATTCTAACCAGGGTGAGGTGAAACCTCATTGTGGTTTTGATTTGCATTTCCCTGATTGCTAGTGATCTTGAACATTTTTTCATGTGTCTGTTGGCCATTTGGATTTCCTCTTTTGAAAAATGTCTACTGAGGTCCTTGGCCCATCTCTTAAGTGGGTTGTTTGTTTTGATGTTGTGGAATTTCTTGATCTCTTTGTAGATTCTGGTTATCAACCCTTTATCAGTTGCATAGTTTGCAAATATATTTTCCCATTCTGTCGGTTGTCTCTTCACTTTCCTGACTGTTTCTTTTGCAGTTCAGAAACTTCTCAATTTGATGCAATCCCAAATGTTAATTTTGGCTTTGACTGCCTGTGCTTCTGGGGTGTTTTCCAAGAAGTCATTGCCGGTACCTATATCTTACAAGGTTTTTCCAATGCTCTCTAATAATTTGATGGTGTCAGGTCTTATATTTAAGTCTTTAATCCATGTTGAGTGAATTTTTATGTAAGGTGAAAGGTAGGGGTCTTGGAACAAGGAGGAATTTGGAAAACATCATGCTGAGTGAATTAACACAGTCCCAAAGGGACAAATATCATATGTTCTCCCTGATCGGCGACAACTAACTGAGTACCAAAGGGGAAACTTGTCGAAATGAAATGGACACTATGAGAAACAGTGACTTGATCAGCTCTTGGCCTGATGGTTGATGTACAATGTAATACTTTATCCATTTTAGTATTTTTTTTTGTTCTAGTACCATTGGTTGAACTCTGTAATTAACACACAATTATTCTTAGGTGTTTAAATTTTAACTGAAAAGTGATCCCTGTTAGGAATTTGGAAAACATTATGCTGAGTGAAATAAGCCAATCCCAAAGGGACAAATACCACTTGTTCTCCCTGATAGGTGACAACTAACTGAGCACCAAAAAGGAAACCTGTTAAAGTGAAATGAACACTATGAGAAATGCTGACTTGATCAGCCCTCGCCCTGATTGTTGATGAATAACTTAATATGTTATCCCTCTTAGTATTTTTTTTTGTTTGTTCTACTTAATACTTTTGATTGAATACTGTAGTCAATACACAATTATTCTGAATTGCTGAAACTTAACTGAAAAGTGATTGCTGTTAAATATAAGAGTGGGAATAAGAGAGGGAAGAGATGTGCAATTCGGGACATGCTCAAGCTGACTTACCTCCAACAGTAGAGTTAGAAACATACCAGGGGATTCCAATTCAATCTCACCAAGGTGGCATGTACCAATGCCATCTCACTAGTCCCAGTGATCAATTTCTGTTCACAATTGATCATAATGATAGGACTAAGAACCAAAGGGATCACATAAACAAGAATAGTGCCTGCAAATACTAGCTGATAGAATCAAAAAGGGAGAGAATGATCCAACATGGGAAGTGAGATACACAGCAGACCCATAGAATGGCAAATGTCCTAACAGCACTCTGGCCTCAGAATCAGCCCTTAAGGCATGCGGATCTGGCTGAAAAGCCCATGAGAGTATTTCAGGCATGGAAAGCCAAGACACTCTGGCAAAAAACAAAAAAAAACAAAAAACAAAACAAAAAAAAACCACCTAAATGAAAGATCTCCGGGAGTGAGATCCCAGTGGAAAGAACGGGTCTTCAAAGAAGGAGGTACCTTTCTCTGAAGGGAGGAGAGAACTTCCACTTTGACCATGGCCTTGTCTAAAAATTATAATAGTCAGTGAACTCAGGGGGCTTCCATAGCCTTGGTAGCTCATGACAAGAGCCTAGGTTGATTACTGATGCCATAAACAAGAGTGTCAATTTGTTAAGTCAACAGCAGGAGTCACTGTGCACTTACTCCTCATGTAGGATCTTTGTCCTTAGTGTGCTGTACATTGAGATTTAATGCTATAACTAGTACTCAAACAGTATTTTTCACTTTATGTTTCTGCGTGGGAGCAAACTGTTTAAATCTTTACTTAATGTATGCTAAACTGATCTTCTGTATATAAAGAGAAATGAAAATGAATCTTGATGTGAATGGAAGGGGAGAGGGAGCGGGAAAGGGGAGGGTTGCGGGTGGGAGGGACGTCATGGGGGGCAAGCCATTGTAATCCATAGCTGTACTTTGGAAATTACTTTGGAAATTTATATTCATTAAATAAAAGTTTAAAAAAAACAATGGTTATGTTGTAATACAATGCTTATTTTCCATCTAATAATTAAAAGGCATAGGTCATCTCAAAGAAAATTCAAAGTACAGATGTCATCAGAAAAGAAAAGTGGAATTATTGTGATTCTGTGTCTGTGCAATTTGATTTTGCATTTTCCAAAACAAAACAAAACAAAAACAATTATAAATTTGCTTATACAAATTGCTTTAGTTAAAACAAAGGGGAAATATTTAAAGCCAGTCTTATATCTATGCATACATTATGGAATCATTAAACCATTTCAATACTGCTAGAAAAAGTTTAAGATATTAAGAAATGCTAATGATAAACTGTTGAGTGGGAAAAAAAAAAGACATAATGTTTAAGATACTCAGCTAACCAGTTTTTGTTATACACACACAAGACTGAACTACACCAAAAAGATCATGGGTTGAAGGATTATCTTTTGATTGAATTACAGTTGACTTTTTTTTGTTGTTTTAACATTTCTCTTTATTTCTCAAATTTTCTCAAATGAATGTTACACTGCTTCTGGGAGATGGGATATATTTTAAAGGCATACCTGCTCACCAGTAAAATTGTGTAAGGAGGACATGTTTTTCCCATCATAAATATAAACCTGTGCAGGAAAAATAAAAGCATGTGAAATACAGTAAAATATAAAATAATTCAGATATTTTTAAACATTTATTTACTTATTTGAAAGGCAAAGAGACAGAGACAGCAACAGAGATCGTCCATCTACTACTTCACTCCCCAAATGCCCACTAGGGGTAGGACTGGGCCAGACCAAAGTCAAGAGCTGGGAATTCAATCCAGGTCTCCCATAGGAGTGGCTCAGACCCAACTACTGAACTAACAACAGCTGCAACCCAGGGTATACATTAGCAGAAAGGCATTATTAGAAGTGGAGCCAGCACTCAATCCCAGACACTCCACTGAGTGTTCCAACTAGTGCCTTAACCACTAGGCCAAGTGCATGCCCCAACTCAGAGACTTTTAAAAGCACCTTTGTATTTTCCTACCATTCCCAAAGTCCTTGCTGCTCTTGGAACTCCTGAAACAAAGTCTGAAAACAAACAAAACTTAATTAATCATTTTTAAGATCAACATTGGAAATTGTGGAAGCAATTATGTCACAAAGCTTTGTTTTATGATTTCAATAGAAAATAAGAAAAATATTTTTAAGTTGCTCTCCATAATAAATAACCCAGCATTTTAAAACCCCAAAATCAAATTTACAAAATACATAAATATTCTTGAGGACTCTCAAATACATGTAAATAAACCCTAAGTCATTTGTAACCTAGTTAAACAAGAATAGATAAGACAAAGTAACCTAAGGAAGGGGGGGGTAAGACTATATTTACAGGAATAAAAAATAATATAGTAGAACTGAAATGGCATAGAGGTGGGCTGTGGCACCTGAGCATGATGAAAATCAGGTCTACGCTTCCTAAATGGAGATCTGAAAAAAGACAGATGGACAAAGAGAGGATGGGAATCCACCTTCCAGAACCAGCCCAGGGTTACCGATCCTCTACAGAGAGAAGGAACTAAGCCTCACTAAGAGGAATGCACTTGCTGAAAGCTGAAGAAGGAGCTGAACAGAGCCCAGCCAGGGATGCTGGGGGCAGGCGAGGAGCAGAAGACAGAGCATGAGGTGCTGGTCTCTCCTCAACGTCCTGACTTCTTCTTTCGTATTCTATGAGAGGGCTTCAAACTGCTGAAAAATTTCAATGGCATCTGTTCCTAATGCCTAACTTAAATCTTTTCATAAAGGAATAAAAATGGCTCAAGAGGTTCATACCATCTATGCCGTCACCATTGAAATCTCCAACAGCTACGGAATAGCCTAAAGGGGGAATCAAAGGTGACACGTCATCAGCACGGGAACATTTCTCCTCAACGTACTTCACGGCGGAGCTGGCCTCAGAAACAGTTTTAAGTAATTCTGTTCATTAGGCAATACTTCGTCTTCTAGGAGTAATAGGTTCATATGACGAATGAATTTTAAAAGAAATAAATGAGCGAAGTACTCAAACTGGAATTTCTATTAGAAAAATAAATGCTATTAAAGTCTTAAAGCAGTCGATGAAAAACAGTAAGTTTGCAATGTACCAAAAAGGATGCAATAACTGACTCTGCATAAGCAAATACCATTTCTGACATGTGTATCTTATTTTAATAAATAAGAGAAATTCAATGAGAGCAAACATTAGTAAATTCCAAAGCCAAAACTATAGTTCAGCATAGTGAATTAAAGTTCAGGAATAAAACTGCCTGTGTCTGAAGTGAAGTATGATTTTTGCCTTTCTGTGCCTCAATGTTCTCACCTATAAAATGAGAATATAACAGTATAATTTTGTAGACTTGTGAGGAATAAATGAGTACATAAAGCACTTGGAACAATACCCAGAACATTGTAAGTACATCTCAAAGGTTAGCTGTTACTATTATTATCACTGTATATTATCTTTAATTTTAATTTATAAAATAGAACATAATCAAAGTATTCAATAACATTCTGAAACTGTACATTCTTTATGTTTAGAAAAATACTAATCTGTTTCACATAAAATATTTTTCTAATTAAAGTAGGATTTGCAAACACAGGACAATTCCATATAAACTACAATTCCATATAAAGCATCTGTACTTTTGATTTACCTACCCAAATAACTGTCATCAAAAATGGCTTGTGCAGTCCGAGTTGCTAATTGGTTATTATACTTGATGCTGTAAACATTGGGGTCATATTTAGACACAATTTCTGCCACTTGATCTGAAATGAGCTGACCTAAAAAAAATTATATAAAGTAAATTAACCTTCTAATAGAAACATTTTTGTGATGTAGATAATGGTGCCTGCATGGAAAAAATATTAGATACTAATATCTCTAGTTATTAATCTTAATTCATCAATAGTGCTAAACATGAAATATGATGCTTGATATTTAAAAATTTATTTGAAAAGCAGAGTGATAGAAATAGAGAAACAGAGATTTTCCATCTGCTGGTTTACTCTCCAAATACCCCAACAGAAAGGCTGGGCCAGGCTGAAGCTGGAAGCCAAGAACTCCATCTCAGTCTTCCATGTATGTGGCAGAAAGGTACTTGAGCTATCATTTGCTGCCTCACAGGCACATTAGCAAGAAGCTGGAAGAGAAAGCAGAGGCAGGACTCCATTCTAGGCACTCTGATATGTAATGCACATGTCCCAAGTGGTAGCTAAGACAACTGTGCCACACAATCTACCCCCATGAAAGTTGACATAACTGATAAAAACTTGGAATTACAGCTGTCTCTCAGTCCCTTGGGGGTTTGGTATCTATCCTTGTAGATACCAGACTCTACAGATGTTCAAGTCCCTTATTTGCATATGAACTATGTACATTCTCCTGTATCTATGAAATCATCTCTAGATTATTTATAATAACTAATACAAAGTAAATACCAAGTAAATAGTTGTGATACTGTATTGCTTAGGGAATAAAAAGTTTGCCCATGTGCAGTACAGATGTCAATCTTTCTAATCAAATTTTTTTTATCTGTGGGTAGTTGAATACACAGTTAAGGAACCTAGGTATATAGAGGTCTGACTATATCTTTATTCAGGCTACCAGTTAAAAGTAAGCTCTGCTAATAAAAATGGAAAAATATGTCATGTCACAGTGGATTAAGCTACATCTTGGGATACCTGCATACCATTATGGGAGTGCCAGTTCGAGTCCTAGCTCTTCTTCCAATCCAGCTTCCGGCTAATGCCCCCTGGGAAGGCAGTAGATGATAGTCCATGTACTTTGGTTCCTGCCACCCACATGGAAGACCTGGATGGAGTTCCTGGCTGTTAGCTTCCTCAGGGCCTAGCCCTGGATGTTGAATCAATGTGTAGATTTTTCATTATTTCATTTTCCATTAATTTCTTGAACGCCCTCATAGTGTTTATCTTCATGGAGAAGTATATATCATACACAATAAACTATCTTAAATTACTTTATTTGCTTCATAATCTACATAAACTATTCAGTTTTTCTACCAGTTAAATATTATATTATTTTTTAAAAATTTGTGTAACAATGTTTACACAATTAAATATATTTTCCATTGTTTCTTTAAATTATTTGAAAATAATCAGATGTGGAGTTAGTGCCATGGTATAGCAGATAAAGCTCCCACCTGCTGCACCAGCATCCTGCATCCCATATGGGTGCCAGTTCAAGTCCTAGCTGCTCCACTTCCAATCCAGATCCCTGCTAATGTGCCTGGGAAAGCAACAGAGGATGATCCAAGTACCTGGGCCTCTGCACCCACATGGGAGACCCAGAAGAAGCTGGGGAGTGAACCAGTGAATGAATGGAAAATCTCTCTCTCTCCCCCTCCCTTCTTCCCTCCCTCTCTCTCTCCCTGTATTTCTCCCTGCCTTTCAAATAAATAAATAAATCTTTAAAAAAAAAAAGGGGGAGATAAACAGAAAATATCTCAGATGCATAATAAGACAGATGAATCAGAGATAGTCACTATTGAGTAACTTAAAATATATTAACCTACCTTGCCAATAAAAGCTACCAGGACCACCAAGAAGTACTCTGTCAGCCTAGATTGAATCAAACAAAGATGTATATATATATACTTAAAAAATAGGCATAACACTGAAATCTGTGCAATAACAGATACATACAGATATATAGTGTACATAAATATATACACAAAATCTTAAATGTCAAACTCATCTAATTCAACTCCCGTGGTTTTCATTCTTCCTACTCTAAAAATTAAAAAGGAAAGCTACAATGTATTCATTTAATATATAAGAATATAAAAACTTTATTTCTGCGGATCTTAGTTTCTTTGCACATCTAGAATGAAGTAATAGTGTGGAGTATTACTCTGGGTTAGAATGAGGAAAAAGTCACTTCTTACTTTGGCATTTCAGACTTGGGCCTAGATAAGGGAAATTTTCTTTCTAACAATCATTGAAGACTTTCATGATAAAGGAAAATTATGTTTAGTATTCACAGATCTAAACAGGAGTAAAACTATAGAATATATTTTTAAGGAGTTATAGAAACACACAAATTTACTATACTTGTAAAAAAAACTGTAAACATCTAATTCCAAATATTTTGTTTGAGCACAATATTTTGGAAATTTCTTTTTATCGGAGAGAATAGAAAAATGTTTTCTTTCCAAAGGTACATACAGCTCTTAAGCTTTCAACAATCAATTTCCTGCCCTTACTATGTATAAGATATTTCCAAGTTGTCTTAAAATCACACCCTTTTCTCATAAATAGGTTTAAGAGAAGGAATAATTTAGCAATAAATTTCACATTGAGATTGCTTCTGAGGTTACAGATGTATAGGCACAGGTACAGAGAATATGGACACATTTTTAAAAATACTTATTTGAAAACATTATGCAAATTTACATCTAATATTTATTATTATACTTTTTTTGTTTGGTTTCTATTTGAATTATGGATAACGTAATATGAGATTAAGTAAATTAAAAATTAATCACTTAGTTGTGAGAATTAACTATAATTATCAGTACCTAGTGCAGAAAATCAATTTCATTAATAAAATGAAAATAGAGATAAAAACAAAATTTTAAAAACAGAAAATGTGGGGCTGGTGCTGTGGCACAACAGCACTACCTCCTGAAGTGCCGGCATCCCATATGGGCACCACCACTTTGTATCTTGGCTGCTCCACTTCCGATCCAGTTCTCTGCTGTGGCCTGAGAAAGCAGCAGAAGATGGCCCAAGTCCTTGAGCCCCTGAACCCACGTGGGAGACCCAGAAGAAGCTCCTGGCTCCTGGCTTCAGATCGGGCCAGCTCCAGCTGTTCAGCCATTTGGGGAGTGAACCAGCAGATGGACCATCCCTCTCTCTCTCCCTCTGCCTCTAACTCTGCCTTTCAAATAAATAAAAGTAGGAAAATGCTTTATTATTTCCACATTGCATGATTTTAATTTCTGTCATCTTCATAAATTTAAGACATCTATTTTGCTTACCTTTTTTTTAAAGATTTTATTTATTTATTTGAAAGGCAGAGTTACAGAGAAGCAGAGGCAGAGAGAGAGGTCATCCATCGCTGGTTCACTCCCCAGATGGAGGCAACGGCCAGAGCTGCAACAATCCGAAGCCAGGAATCAAGAGCTTCCTCTGGGTCTCCCATGCGGGTGCAGGGGCCCAAGGACTTGAGCCATCTTCTACTGCTTTCCCAGGCCATAGCAGAGAGCTGGATTGGAAGTGGAGCAGCCAGGTCTTGAACCGGCACCCATATGAGATGTCGGCACTGCAGATGGTAGCTTTTACCCACTACACCACAACACCGGCCCCTCACATTTTCTTAGAAAACCATTGTAAGGTTTCTAAGTAAGTTTCACTTTCAATATTTTTAATACATCTGTAGGAGAAAGCAATATTCTCAATTCACTATTCAAAATGTTCATGTACCCCCCACCAAAGTAAATAAACAAGTGAAACACAGAAAAGAAAATTATGTAAAGTACTAATGAAAAACTGTCAATGAAAACATAAATGGAAACTGTCAAAACAATCAACTCTGGACAGCATATTAGTTTAACTAAAAATATATAGCTTGCATATGTGATTTCCTATGAATATTAAATTGCTTCTGCTTCACATGTTGCCTGTAGGCATATAAGATAACAAACTTATGCATGTCTCTCAGCTTTTATAAAACGAAAGTGCAAGTCTGTATAAAGTTCCTATTGGTAACTATTGTGAAAATTAATTGCAGCTGAAAATAAAAACATTAATATTTAACAAGCCACATAACTGGAGATTATGGTATTAAATCATAACAGTTACCTATCATCTACTGAGGAGACTACCTACTTTCCTCCGTTCCCATTACAGTACCTCCCTATTTCAAAACACTACTAGGGAAGGAGTAGTGTAAGGCAAGGAATGCCAAAATGAATAGCTAGCCATTTTCATGAAAAAGGCAGTAGTTACAAAGAAGCTGAGGCACTGATCAGTTTATTTTTAGCCATAGTTTAGTGAATAAGGTAGATCTAAATCTCATCCAATCTTAAATGAGAACTTACTTTAGTAAAATCAATGCTGAATCCTCCTTGACAAAATCCCTGTCCATCAGCATCAATATTTTCTAAAATAAAAAGATTGGAAATATACACAAACCCCAAAACAAACAAATAACACAAAATAAAACATAAGAAAATTTGCTGTAATAATAATCCTAACATGATCTGTTAGTTTCTGGGAGTGGTCATTCATTCAGGCAGAGTTATTATTACTTCCAGGAAAACTTAATATACATGGTTATCAGCACCACTTCCTCAGATATGGAAACAGAGATATTTAGGTACCCATGCCAATCACCAAGAAATAGAAAGATCCACAAAAAAATGGTAGGTTTCAAACATTTTTTTAACCACAATCCACAGCAAGATTATAGTTTAAATCACAATCCAACACAAACTACATGTGTAAACTATACATACATATATCACTTAAATTTCATAAAACAATATTGCAATTTTACATAATACTCGTTGATGTTTCCTATTTCATTTCATTCTGTTACTTTCAAAATTACTGATTGTGACATACTGTATCTGTTTCACAAAACACCAATGAGCTGTGGTGTCAAGTTAAAAATTCAACTCTCAGATTCCTTCATCCTTGTTACTCGACAGTTACTATGTTTTTAAATAAGTAATCATGAATAATAACAAAGAGATACATACATTACCAATACATATATTTTACAGCCATCAACAAAAATGAAAAATGATACAGTTCAGAATTTCAGAAAATTGAATCTTGTATGAAGAGCAAAATATGAAACTATCCACACAACACATTGAGTAAATTTGGTCTAATAAAAGTGACTATCTTTAAACATAACACTTTCAAGTATTTTCCAACAGAAGACCCAACAGTTCTCCTCTTTTGTGATTACTCACACACACCTCATTCTTTTTGCAGTTCTCATGGAAAGGGACTAATTCTGAGCAATTCATCAATTAATTTAACTTTAATCATGAGCGACACTGTATCTAGAATAGTGGTAGGATGAATCTGAACACTCTCCTTGCTTTACATCCAGGACAACAGGAACATTGGGAAACACCATCCTTCAGTTATCAAAGAAGTTTTGTAGCCAATGTTACAAATATATGAAAAGTTACTTGTTTTTACTGTATTTGCCACCCAAATACAGGAAGAAAAGTATCTATTTTCAGTCATAAGGACAAACTTCCAAGAATTTCTGTCAAATAATCCCATCAAAAGTTCTGAACCAATTTTAAAGCCTGGGAATTGACCCAACTTTTTTTCTTGAAAATGCCCTCAAGCGTGTAATGCTACCCCAATGTAAACTTCTGTAACCAAGAGGGAGTGGGAAATGAGGGGCTGGGGTTTCCACCATCTAGTGAATCATACAAAGGAATTCTGCTCTGACCTCAAGCCAGCCATTGATTTACTTTATTCAAGTTGCATCTGGAGAACCATTTCAGGCTATTTATAAAGACATCCTTTTTTGATTATCACACTGTACAATTATCTACTTTATTTAGTTTCCCAGAACATCCAGCTAAAAAAAAAAAAAAAAAAAAGTTTGTCCTCTAAAATTTTCTTAACAGGCACATACTAAACTGCATGCTTTGCCAATGTAAAGACTTTCATGTTAAATATAACTTATTTCAGTGAAGACTTTGGTGTTTAATTTTACAGGTGAGTTATGCTTCTCCCATTCGTTAAGTCTGGCAATGACATCATGAACAGTTGTTCTTGATTATGATAGATCAGCTAGTGTTTAAGATGCCCTTACTGTGATCTATGTCTAATGCTACAGTGTTTTACACAGTACCATCCTTTAACTCTTTATAGCAATACCACAAGAGATGCTATTATTATTCACAATTTATACAGGTAAGGAAACTAATGCTTAGAGAAAAGAAGTAACTTGACCATGATCAGCCAGCTAGTAAATAAAGGAGTATGGACCTGAACCCAGGGGTGTCTACACCACTCTGCTGAGCTCTCAACTCAAGAAGGTATTTATCAGTCCCTCAGTAATGGCAACGGGGAAGGAAAAGCCAACTAGAAATCATTAAAAGAGAAAATCTATGTTCAAGTAACCTTGTAACCAAAAAGCAGACAGGAAGAACAAAAGATTCAATCTGAGCAGGGAGATGAAACAGTATTAAGAGGTACTTTCAGAACAGATGGACATCTGGCCTACTGCATAACGCCAAGGAAAGTCACAGATGTGGTTATGAGAAACTGGAAGTAAAAATAATCAGTTTAAAGGTAAGTTGATGATGAACAGCTAAGTTCCTTGTCCAGGATTTCCACATAGGTCATGTTATATGTTTTCCCTGATTCGAAGTAATTAATAGAGTACCTGAAATGTAATGTATTGGACTAAAATAGACATTTTGAGAATCAATGATTGGTTATAGCCCTTGTCTCTTCCATTGAGGAAGTGTTTTTTTTTTTTTTCTCTCTTCATACTATTTATTGAATTCTTTTACTTAGAGTAAGGATAACTATATGATCATTCAGAATACTGAAAATAGATCACTGTAAAAATTGAGAATGGGAATTTGAAAGGGAGGGGGAAAAAGGGTCGGAGCATGGGCAGAAGGGAGGGTAGAGGAGAAGTGCCACTATGTTCCTAAATGTGTATATATGAAATACATGAAACTTGTGTAACTTAAATAAAATTTTTAAAAATGTAATTAAAAAAGCACTGTCCAACCAAGCCAAGCAAATGGAACTAAAACCAAGAAAAAAAAAAAAAAAAACAACTCGCAGACTGCCACCATGGAGACAATCCAGACATCAAGAAGTTAGCAAGCCAGCTCAAGAAAACCTGTTATCATCATGTAAAACCAATTATTAGGCTGTACTACTTACTGACATATGGAAGATGTACAATACTAAATTTGTGCCTTTGAAATTTTTATAGGGTTTTTTTTTTTTTTTTTTTGGTCTAAAAAGGAATCCAGAGTCATTAAGGAAACTAGCCTCTGCTATAGGTGAACGTCCGCTGAATGTCTGATTATTATCCAGGTTCTCAGACTCCCAGTCCTGAGATTTTTCTCTAGATCGGCTGCATCTCGTAACCTGATCCTGTAGGTAGCTTAACATTTCAACAATTGGGGCCGGCGCCGCGGCTCACTAGGCTAATCCTCCACCTAGCGGCGCCAGCACACCGGGTTCTAGTCCCGGTCGGGGCGCCGGATTCTGTCCCGGTTGCCCCTCTTCCAGGCCAGCTCTCTGCTGTGGCCCAGGAGTGCAGTGGAGGATGGCCCAGGTGCTTGGGCCCTGCACCCCATGGGAGACCAGGAAAAGCACCTGGCTCCTGGCTCCTGCCATCAGATCAGCGCGGTGCAGCACGCCGGCCGCGGCGGCCATTGGAGGGTGAACCAACGGCAAAGGAAGACCTTTCTCTCTGTCTCTCTCTCTCACTGTCCACTCTGCCTGTCAAAAAAAAAAAAACATTTCAACAATTGAACTGAAAGGCATATAGGGTTAAGCTGCTGCTTGGGATGCCCATAGCACATACTGGAGTACTGATTCAAGTCTCTGCTACTCTGCTTCTGATCTAGCTTCCTGCTAATATGCCTAGGAAGCAGCAGATGATGGCGCAAGTGCTTGAACTTCTGCCACCCCTATGGGGAGACCTGGATGGAATTCTGAGCTCCTAGCTTCATCCTGGCCAGCCCTGGGCTATTGCAACTGCTTGAGGAGTGAATCAGAGGAATGAACATCAATCAATCCATCTGTGGGAGGTGGGGGAGGGGGTCACTCTGCCTTTCAAATAAATTAAAAAAATACATCTTTTCTTAAAATGCATGTAAAATAATCAATGGTTACTGAAAGCCAAGTCTGTTAGGAAGAAAGGCATTCCCTTTGCTTTTTCTATCCCTGAGTTTTTCCTAAGATTTGAGGTTTTATAATTTACTTTAGGTCTCAGCAAACTTTTTCTGTAAAGTAAATATTTTAGGCCTAAGAACCATATGGTATGGCAAATACTCAATTCTCACTGCACAACTTTCCCAGATAACATGTAAACAATGGATGCTGCTGGATTCCAATAAAATTTTATTTACAAAAACAGACCAGAGATATATAGCTCAAAAGTCTTAGTAACTTTTATTATTGTTTTGTTATTGTTGTTGCTAATTTCCTAGTGTGCCTAATTTTTAAGTTAAACCTTATCATACAAATTAAATTCAAAAAGTTCATGGAAATGGAATTAAAAGATGAGTTTATTTTAACATAAGTTTTTAAATACATGAAGTTTTTTCCATAATATCCATCTTCCATGAACTTTTTATAAACTTGTCATGTACATGGGTTTCAAAATTTTGTTGTATAACGGTGACTTGATCAGCATAGCCCTGACTGTTAATGAACAACTTAATACATTATCCCTCTTAGTAGTTTTTTTGTCTGCTCTACTTAATATGACTGGTTTAATTCTGTAATTAATACACAGTTATTCTTAAGTGTTGAAATTTAACTGAAATGTGATCCCTGTTAAACATAAGAGTGGGAATAAGAGAGGGAAGAGATGTACAATTTGGGACATGCTCAGGCTGACTTGCACCAAATGGTAGAGTTAGAAACATACCAGGGGACTCCAATTCAATCCCATCAAGGTGACATGTATCAATGCCATCTCACTAGTCCAAGTGATCAATTTCAGTTCACAATTGATCATAATGAAAGGACTAAGAGTCAAAGGGAGCACATAAACAAGACTAGTGTCTGCAAATACTAACCGATAGAATAAATAAAGGGGAGAGTGATCCAACATGGGAAGTGAGATACTCAGCAGACTCATAGAATGGTGGATGTCCTAAACAGCACTCTGGCCTCAGAATCAGCCCTAAAGGCATTCCGATCTGGCTGAAAAGCCCATGAGAGTATTTCAGGCATGGAAAGCCAAGACACTCTGGAAAAAAAAAAAAAAAAAAACAAAACAACACCAAACAAACAAACACCTAAATGAAAGATCTCTGTGAGTGAGATCCCAGTGGAAAGAACAGGTCTTCAAAGAAGGAGGTACCTTTCTCTGAAGGGAGAAGAGAACCTCCACTTTGACTATGACCTTGTCTAAACAAGATAAGAGTTGGAGAACTCAAGGGGCTTCCATAGCCTTGGAAACTCATGACTGGAGCATGGGGAGATTACTGAGGCCATAAACAAGAGTGTCAATTTGTAAAGTCAACAACAGGAGTCACTGTGCACTTACTCCTCATGTAGGATCTCTGTCCTTAGCGTGCTGTACATTGAGACTTAATGCTATAACGAGTACTCAAACAGTATATTTCACTTTGTGTTTCTATGGGGGTGCAAACTGTTGAAAGCTTTACTTAATGTATACTAAGCTGATCTTCTGAAAAAAAAAAAAAAAAGAAGAAGAAGAAGAAGAAATTATCAATTCCCAACTTGACTCTCACTGGGATTAAACATGACAATAGGTCTGATCTGATTTCATCATCATTTAAAAAATCATCTATTATTTTTCACTTTATGTTTCTGTGTGGGAGCAAACTGTTGAAATCTTTACTTAATGTATGCTAAACTGATCTTCTATAGATAAAGAGAATCGAAAATGAATCTTGATGTGAATGGAAGGGGAGAGGGAGTGGGAGAGGGGAGGGTTGCAGGTGGGAGGGACGTTATGGGGGGGAAGCCATTGTAATCCATAAGCTGTACTTTGGAAATTTATATTCATTAAATAAAAATTAAAAAAAATTTTGTTGTATCAAAAAAAACTTATCTTTTAATTCCACTTCTCCATGAACTTTTTGAAGTACCATATATATATATATATATATATATATATATGGCAACCAATTTAATGATTCAGAGGATGTGGAATAGTGGACAATTCAACACAGGGTAGAGGTGCAAAAAGATCAGCATCTCTAAAGGAAAAGAATGTAGAATACGGAAAAGCATAATCCAAACTGTCTGTGCTTGAAATCATTTTTCCTTACAATGTTAATTTCATGAGAATTTTCAATATCAGAGAAGAGTATGAGATTTTCTGAATAGCCCAAAGAAGGGCAGGTTTGATAATAGTTAAAAAAAAAAAAAAAAAAAAAAAAAAAAAAACTCAGATTAAGAGCAGAGAAATTCAGAATCAAGACTCCCAGCTCCAGCTTCATCTTCCTACATAAACTCTGGCTCTTTAAGGTGCTGTTATCATTTATTTTTTTTTTTTTTGAACATCATTGTTACTATAAAGTATTGATTTTCAAACACTGGTATCCATCAGAATTATCTTGTAGAGCTTGTTAACAAATGCAAGTACCCAGACCTAACCTAGACCCCCCTGAATCACAACCTTTACCTGTGGCAGACCCTGTCTCTGGTAAAGAAACTCACTGGAACATTTCTAACTGATACTGATTAAAAATAAAGTTTCCTAAATCAGATATCAATTAATACTAATCCTGGCAGAAAATGAGTTCTTTGGGAGAAAAGATAAATCTGTTTAAACTTGTAATTTCTTTATATTAGTAGGATTGTTCCATTTTTGCTCTCATCATCACAATATGTCTGTCTATTTTATCATGCACACATACTCAAACACATTGTTAACAAACTAGACTTCACATCCTTCCTCTTAAAAGTTGGTACAACTTCCTGTACATACTTGATCTGCATGGCGCATACTCAACAGTCTTTGCTCCATCTTGAAGAAAGCAGGTCCCCACAGGCTCTCTCTCTTGCTTCACCTCAGTCCTCCAGTGGTACAGAGGGGCACAGGCCTAAAATTAAAGGTTTAGTTCATGATATAAAAACTCTGAATAATCAGTGGTTCAAACCACCTATGGTAACTTAGAATATAGTATCACGTTCTAACCATTAATTAAAATTAATCAACTCTATCCTAGACCTTAAATTCCTTATCAGAGTAGCAGATGAGGATTTTAAAAGAAGTGGGCTGCTGTCATGGTGCAGCAAGTTAAGCCACCACCTGTGATGCCAGCATCCATCATCGGAGCTCTGGTTTGAGTCCTGGATGCTCAGCCTCCAATCCAATCCTGGCTAATGAGCCTGGGAAAAAAGCAGATAGCCCAAGTACTTGAGCCCCTACCACCCATGTGGGAGACCCAAATGGAGTTCTGAGCTCCTGGCTTCAGCCTGGACAGCCCATAATTGTAGCCATTTAGGGAGGTGAACCAACAAATGGAAGATCTCTCCCTCTCTTTCTCTCCCTCTTCCTCTCCATCACTCCCTCTTTCTCAGTCACTCTGCCTTTCAAATAAATAAATCCTTTTAAAAACAATTTTAGGGGCTGGCATTGTGGCATAGTGGTTATAGCTGCTGCTTGCAGTGCTGGCATCCCATACAGGCACCAGTTCGAGTCCCAGCTGTTCCACTTCCAATCAAGCCTCCTACTAATGGCCTGGGAAAGCAGTGGAATATGGCCCAAGTCCTTGCGTCCCTGCACCTATGTGGGAGACCCAGAAGAAGCTCCTGGTTCCTGACTTCAGATCAGCCCAGCTCCAGCAGTTGCAGGCATTTGGGGAGTGAACCAGCGGATAGAAGATCTCTCTCCCTCTCCCTCTCTGCCTCTTTCAAATAAATAAACAAATCTTTTAAAAATGATTTTAAAAGATGTATTTTCTCTTATTCTTCCAAAGCCTATCTATAGTCTATGTATATTTCAAAATAGAAACATTATTATTTCATATATATTTCTTGACACAACACACTACTTGAAGGTCACAGATTAAATCAATTTGTTTAAAATTTTGCTTGATTTCTAACAGACACACAAAAAATTGTGTGTATTTATGAGGTTCCATGTGATGCTTCCCATACACATTTAAACTGTGTAATGTTTAAATCAGAGTAAACACATCTATCTCCTCAAACATTTAACATTTATTTTGAGGGGAAAACATTCAAAATCCTCCTAGCTAAACAACAAATACAGTACATTATCATTATCTACAGTCACCTCACTGTGCAATAGAACACCAGACTATCCTACCCCTGTCCCACTACAACCTAATACCAGTTAAATAACCTTTCTTTATCTCACCATCTCACTACAATCCCCAGTCTCTGGCAATCACCACTGTTCTCTCAACTCATATGAAATTGACTTCTTTAGATCCTACATATGAGTGAGAGCATGTGACACTGTACTTCTGCACCTGGCTTATTTCACTTAATAGAAGGGTCTACAGTTCCAGTCCTGTTGTCACAAATGACAACATTTCATGCTTTTGATGGCTGAATAGTATTCTATTATATATATTATATTATTGTTATATTATATATTATATTATATATTATATATTATTCTCTTTATTGTCATCAGTTGACAATTAGGTTGCTTCAATTTCTAGGCTATCATAAATAGAATCAAATTTTAAACTTAGTAATACTGATATACCCCTAAATTTAAAAAAATGTATCAAGAAGACAGTAAAATAATTAATGGTGCTGGGGTGGATACTTGGTGTAGTGGTTAAAATGCCACCTGGGATGCCTACAGGCCATATCAGATTGACTGGGTTTGAGTCCCAGCTCCACTTTCAGTTCCTGGTAATTCACACCCAAGGAATTAACATACTGTGGCCCAAGAGCTTGGATCCCTGCAACTTGTATGGGAGATCCAGAATGAATTCCTGGCTCCTGGAACACATCGACCTAGCCCAGCCCCAGCTGTTGCAGGCATCTGGGGAATGAACTAGGGGGTGGAAGATATCTACCTATCCCCCACCCTTTCTGTGTTTCAAATAATAAAAAAAGTAAATAAATAAAATTTCAGAAAATAATTTGCAGCCATTATTTTATTTACTTTCCAAATAAACTGAATTTTTTGTTTTCAGAGTTCTAGATTTCAATACTATATGGAAGTGGTGGAATAAAGTATTTCTTAATAACACAGCAATCTACCAAAACTGTAACAATTTAATTTACTGGTAACAGTTCAATGAAATTTCTGTAATATTTTTTGAAACAAAACACTCATATAAACAATGAGAAAGTGACACTGGATTATTTTATATTCATGGAAGGGGGAACAGTAGCCAATCGTTGGAACTTCCCTATACGTATTCAATGCTCCAGAGTAGATGATTTGCTCCTTCTGCTTACTTCTGTTTATTTATACATCTTCCTGCCTAGAATGCCCCCACAATGAACCCCATCCTTTATCTCCAATTGCTAAAATTAGGCACAACCTTTAAATCCCTGCTGAAACTTCATCTCCTAACAAAGTTTCTAATGCCCCATAATCAGATGAAAGGTAGATAATATAAATGCCTAGCAGGTAATTAAAATAGGGAAGAGCTCTCTGAGGAAATGAAAGTAAAGGCGAAATCCAAACTTCAAAGGAGTAGTCAGCAATACAGGAGAAAACCCAGGAAAGTACTGTATCACAGAAACCAAGAGAAGAAAGGTATCTGTAAAAAGGGGGAGGATTGAGTGATCTTGTTGAATGGTGTTGAGAGGGCAAGAAAGAGAAGAATAAGTACCAAACAAAACGAAACATCACAGATATATACACAGGAGTCTTCAAAAAAGCTCATGGAAAATGTGTATTATAAGAAACTACATATTCTCCATGAACTTGGCTGGACAGAAACAAACTGATGGGAACAATCAAGTGGGGCAGGAAAAACCAACAATGTAGGAATGAATAGAAAGAAACAGAAGCCCGAGAAGGGAAAGAGATTTAGTATTCTTAGATGGGACAGCCCCTAATCAGAGTTATCCCTATCTTACTTTATTATACCCTGCACCCTTAAGCATACTGAATTTTACTTCCAGCTTAAAATCATAACACTCCCTGTGTCTCCAGATAAATTGACTGAACTCACCTGTGAGTAAATATTCAAGACTTACCAAAATTTTGTCCTGTTTTGACCTGACAGATGCCCCAAACCACTGGTGTGACTTAAACTCCAATGGGTCATCCTTGGCATAATTTCTATTGCCTAAAAAAGAATATTGTGGGGGGTGAAAAACAAAATTTAGTGTTCTTAGTATAAGTGAGCTTATTTCTATCCAGCCAAGTTTAGAAGTAGCATACTTTGACTAATGAAATACTACATTAGTTATCTATCTCATATAATTTATATATATTAGGAACTGTCAACTGATCATAAAAATATAATACATAATAGCTTAGAAGTGTCTCAAGGTTGTTAGCACCATCAACGGTCATAGTACAGATACGAAAAAGTAACCATAAATAAGTTTTCTAATTGCTAAATTATTAGCTAACCATAAAGCTCAAACTTACAATCATCAATCATATTCCCAGAAGGTCTTTCCATGGCATAAAGAAATTTATGAACATTAAGGGATATGGAACATTTTATGTATAACAAAGGCAATAAAGATAAGACTAAGACATGTACTAATGGCATTATAATACAAGAGTCAAAATCCAAGACATGAGTTGGCCAGCAGGAAAAAGAATGTTCATCTAAACATTTACTTTTTAGCCCCAGCTACTGAGAAGATGACCCCAATGTGCCAGGCACTCATGTAAAACACTGCAGATTTTTTTTAAAAATAGTTAAAATCTGTTCCATGATCTGATCAGGAGGAAATTACAGAAATAGTTGCACAAAGTAGTTTAGAAAGGAAGTCCTATTTTTTAAAGTCCAGTTGTTACTCTTAAAATCTATTTAAAATAATAATTTTTATTAACATATTTTAATAACTATGTTGGACAATACAGCAGATAAATATTGATTTTACAAATGTTAGCCAACACATAAATACCACCAAAAAGCTTTCAATCATTTCCTTGGGGAAAGGTATTTGCTCGGAATGCCCACATCCCATATTAGAGGTCCTGGGTGGAAGTCCCAGCTCCATTTCTGTTTCTGGCTCCCTGTTAATGTACATCCTTGGAGAAAGCAGAGGATGGCTCAAGTCCTTGGGTCTCTACCATTCACTTAAGAGACCTGGATTGAGTTCCTGGCTCCTGCTGTCAGACTGGCCCAGTCCTGACTTTTGAAAGTATTTAGGGAATGAATCAGCAGATCAAAGAGATTTTACTTTCTCTCTCTCTCTTGCTCTGGCTCTCTTGTCTACTTGCTCACCACCTCTTCCCTACGTTTCAAATAAAAATGAAAATAAATAAATGAAAAAATTTTAGAAGTCATTACAAATCCAAAATCATTTAAAAAATTGTTTCCCTAAACCCTTACCTATCCAAGATAGTGCTTATGGTTATTCAATTCTACACTTCAAGACTGAAAGCCAACTGAAGAGTTATAAATAATGAAATTTTCAATACCAGATTTCTTACAGGCAAGGTGGAGGGTGAAATGTTGTTCACTGTTTTACTCTTTTAATTATCTCATCGTTTTGAAAAAAAAAAAAAAAAGTTTTATGTGTCCACCTCCAAAGGCTTCTAACAGAGTTTAAAACAGCTAGTATTCTTTTCTGCTTAACTTTCTAAACTTGATTTAGTTATTTATTCTATCTGAAAGGCAAAGAGACAATGAGACAGACACTGCCAGAGAGAGATCTGCCATCTTCCGTTTCATTCCTCAAATGCCCAATCAGCCAGAAATAGACGAGGCTGAAGCCAGAAGCCTGGAACTCCATCCAGAACTCCCTTTAGGTGGCAGGGACCCAAGCACTGGAGCCATCCCCTGCTGTCTCCCAGGCCACACATTAATAAGAAGCTGGAGTCACAAGCAGAGGCAGGACTTGAACCCAAGGACTCTGATATAAGATGCAGGTATCCGAAATAGCATCTTAACTGCTGCACCAAATACTTACCCCAAGTTTAGCTTATAAAATCTATTATTTTAATTTTTAACTGATATATTAAAATTGTACATATTATGTAGCATGTGACAAATTTATACATGTACTCATTGTACAGTGTACACCTCTGTTCCTTGTCAGTGATCATAAAGGCACAATTTTATAGAGGGAAGGAAGCAGAAAATATGGAACTAGAATAGCTAGTGCATGCCCTTTATATAAAATCAAGGCTTCCAATGGTGGCCAGCTTGCTTCTGAAGCCTATGTTCACTATGTTGTTCCACTGGTCACCAAAGAGTACCTGTGCTGTCTTACAGTTCCTATACTCTCACAGTTGTGTTAAAACAATGTAACTAATTCTTGCTCATAAAGGTAAGAACAGAAGTAGCACACTTCATTTCCAGTTCAAGTACAGTTAACAGTGCAAATCAGAGACAGGGAATTTAGCGTAGCAGCTTAAACTGCTGCTTGGGATGCCACTATCCCATATCAGAGTGCTAGGTTTGAGTCCTGTTACTCTGTTCTGATCCAGCTTCCTCCTAATGTGCATCCTGGGAGACAAAAGATGATGGCTTGAATGCTTTGGTTCCTGCCACCTACACAGACCATATGGGGCTCTGGGATCCTAGTTTCAGCCTGGTCCAGCCCTGGCTGTTTTGGGCAAGGGGGAAGTAAACCAGTGAATGGAAGATTGATGTCTGTCTCCTACCTCTCAAAAAATATAAATAAATGAATGTTTTTATAAAAAGATGGATATGAGGTCTCTGTTTCCCGTCTCCCATCAATGAGGCCATGAGAACAGTGGAGCTCCTACATGGAAGTATTCTCAGCCCAAAGCTCTAAGCCACCAGACACAAATGACCCATACTGGACAGCACCAGGAAGAAGACATTATCTCTTAATGGATGGTAAAATCATGCCATTACTGAAATACATTCTTGCATGTCTTAATACATATTCTAAAAACATAATGTAATTTCAAAAAGGGCCTGACCTACAACCATAAAAACGTTTAGCCCTTAGAAGAATTGGATTCCGCTGATAGCTGTGCAAGGATTTTAAGCACAAAATTTATAGCTCTAAGTTACTTGGGATTTTTTTTTACTCCACTGTTTCTCTTGCTCAGTTACTGGCTTTTCTCTTCTATTCTCTTCTGTAAAGCAAAATAAGATATTTTCTCCCTAACAGTACTGATATAGAAGAAATATAGGATGACTATGAAAAGAAACAGCTGCTGCTTGGAAAGATTTGTCTCAACTCACCATCCCTGGAGACTATAAGCATCAAGACAAACTCAGGTCATCTTCATCAGTTCAAAAAGGGAACTGAAGTTCAGCGGATTAAGCCATGAGTCCAAGTCACCCTACTTCTAACCTAGCTCCCTAAAAATGCATCCTGGGAGATGGCAGATGATGACTCAAGTGTTTGGATCCCTGCAACCACATAGAAGACCTGGACTGAGTTCTGCTCTCCTTGCTTCAACCTTGTCCAGCCCTGATTGTTGCAGAAATTTGGGGAATGAATCACTGGATAGAAGATCTCTCTCTCTCCTTCTCTCTCTCCCTCTCCCTCTCCCACTCCCACTCCCTCTCCCTGTCCCTCTCCCTCTCGCCCCCCCCCTTCAAATAAAATAGAAATTTTTTTTAACGTAGCATTCTCCCAACTTGTATCTCCTGTCTCTACTTTCATTTAAAGCACAGCCTTCTCAGCAAAATGCAAATCTAAAGACATCCAAGCAGAAGCAAAGCTTTTCTGTATTAGAGAATATCACTGGTTGAATAAGTGCCACATCAGAGACATTCAAATTAAAGTTCTGGATAGGGGCCAGCACTGTGGTACAGTGGGTTAATCCTCCCCCTGCAGCACCAGCATCCCATATGGGCACTGGTTCTGGTCCCGGCTGCTCCTCTTCCCATCCAGCTCTCTGTTATGACCTGGGAAAGCAGTAGAAGATGGCCCAAGATCTTGGGACCCTGCACCCATGTGGAAGATCCGGAAGAGGCACCTGGCTCCTGGCTGCGGCCATCTGGGGAATGAATCAGCAGATGGAAGACTTTTCTCTCTGTCTCTCCCTCTCACTGTCTGTAACTCTACCTCTCAAATAAATAAATAAATAAAATCTTTAAAAAAAAGTTCTGTATATTTTCTCATATTTTAAAACTCCCAATAACTAATACAAAATGATACAGTGGTACAGACCCAACATAGCTATACCCTTGCCAACACAAGTGTTCCTGCCTACAAGACACCTGGAGAAACTCCTCAAAAATACTAATATCAAAGCAAAAAAAAATGCTGCAGATTGTTCTAGATTAAAACAGAATGAGTCATAGCAAACAAATTGAAAAACATCATACTTAGTGAAATAAGCCAGTCCCAAAAGGACAAATACCATATGTTCTCCCTGATCTGTGAAAACTAATAGAGCACCTAAAAGGTAATCTATTGAAGGGAAACTGACACTTTGAGATGCAGTGACTTTGAATAGCTTTTGTCTCAACTGTTGAGGAACAGTTTTTTTTCATACTATTTATTGAACTATTTACTTAACATAATCATATGTGTATAAAGTTAACTGAAAATAGATCTTAGTAAAAAATAAGAAGTGAAATAGTAGAGGGAGGAGGAAAAGGGGTAGAAGTATGGGTAGGAGGTTGGGTATGGTGGGAAGAATCACCATGTTCCTAAAGTTATATTTATGGAATGCATGAAGTTTGTATTCCTTAAATAAAAGGTTTCTGTGGGGGAAAAAAAAGAGAATGATTCATAGCAAACAAATCTGAGACATGATTCTTGATTGAGCTTTCTATCTTAAACAATTTTTAAAGGTATAAAAGACTTTATTAGAATAACTGTGGAAATGCAAATATTAACTGTAGAGTATATAATGGTATTGTAATAATGACATATTTCTAATGTGTGATGATGACAGTAAGGGAATGTGACAGCTTTTAGGGGATATGTGCTCAAGTTAAACAGGTCTTCAAAAGTTCATAGAAAATACATTTTATGATAAACTATGCATGGATTTCAAAGATTTTTGTACCAAAAAACTTCTTTTAATTTTATCACAAATTTTCTGAAATACCCTTGCATTTAGAAGGAAAAGTGCTTCAATGTTTATGACAATGAGTGAAGCTAGGTGAAGTGTATATTCCCATCCACTGCATTATTGTTTCAAGTTTTCTATTGGTTTGAAAATTTT